ACACGCCTGTTGCAGACTGGCATTAACGTTAAAAATTTGAAGCATGCGTGTTTCAACAAAATAAATTCAAAAAAAAGGTTCGGTTTCCTAGCATAAACATTAGACTGAATCACTCCCCCTACAAAAAATAAATCGGTACTGTGTTTTTGCCATTGGAATTATAAAAGCTTGATATTTTAAGAAGTCCACCAAAATATTTAGAAAAAAATATTAAGATTTACGTGAGCTGAACCGATTTGAGTTTTTTATGAAAAAACCAGTTTCTTAAAGTTTTTTTTTTTTTTTTAAAAATCCGCTCAAGTGACAGACCGGTTAAGCTTAAAAAATTTGCTTAAAAAAAATAATAAAAAAATTTCAACGGAACCGTAATTATGAGATTTTAGAAGCTGTTTTTTAACTTTTTTCAAAGATTGGTATAAGAAAAATTTGAATAACTGAACCTGGACTATTCCGATTTAGATTTGTTAGGTATCATAGGAAAGGTATTTCTCACCCTTTTTACTTCCTTGCCAATAAACTCATTCAAAGGATGAAGCAGAAAGGTAGGATGAACGAGCTTCATTCTGAGTTGAATGAAGATATGTATATTTGTATTTGAAAAAAAAAAAATTGGGACATGAATGATTTTTTTTGCACAGAAATAAAGAAAGTGGGAAAAGCCTTTTTATTAAGACCCCATAAGTCTAAATCAGAATAGTTTTGGCCCAGTTATTCAAGTTTTTCGTAAAACAAGTTTTTTAAAAAAGTAAAAAAACAGCATCAAAAATCTCATTATAACGATCCCGCTGAAAAGATTTGTAAATATTTTTATGCAGTTTTTTTAAACTTAATCTATTTTGTCATCTGAGGGGACTTTTTTTTAATTCTTTAAGAAACTTATTATTCATAAAAAACTCCATTTTTGCAGATATTTTCAAATCGGTCCAGCTCACGTAAATATTCGTAAATATTTTTCCGAAATATTTTGGTGGACGTCTTCAAATATAATAAATTTTGTTATTCCGGCGGAGAAACAGCAACTTTTTTTGGTGATGCAGTCTAATACACATACATACATATGTACGAATATAATGTCGTGTATGTATACTAGGTAGACTACGGGACAAAGGGTGATAACTTTCTTATCATGACCATTAAAACCTTGAACCCTTTTGATATGGAACTTTCCATCTTTATTCAAATTTAAAAAAAAAATGCTACAAATACATATAGACTATCACCCAAAGTTAATATTCTGAAATATTAGACAAAGTCTAAACTCAGTTATCGGTTTTCATTTGCAACGTTCTTTTATTGACAATGTTAACTGGCCGGTGAACGGCCTCTGAATATACATAATTAAAAACATTAGTAGTATTAAGTGGACTCTAGAGGTGCAAAACTATCGATAGTCAGGCCATCGATAGTTTTCGATATTATTTTCAAAACTATCGATATATCGTCGATAGTATCGTATTTATATGGTTTGCCTCAATTTTCGTATGAAGATTTCCTTAAGAATATATTCCGAAATTACGTTTCGATAACCTTGTAAACTGCTGGACACCTTTTTTAATTGTTTAGCCGTTAGGTTAGAAGTAAAGTTATTGAAAATTTGAAATGAATTGAAATGGAATAAAATTGGGCGTACTGAAATTTTATATTTGTGGTTTTCGATATCCTCCGTCACATATATGGCATTCATCAAGTAAATTTCAATTTTAGAAGAAGAAACCATTTTTTATCTGAGAAGTAATGGTTTTTATCTACCTTTTATTAAATAGTAAATAGTGGTCCATAGATAATATTGAAAGTTTTGGTATAAATTAATTTGTATCAGTTTTTAGCCGTATTTTAAGAGATGCAAGGTTTTCCGTCATTTTCGAAATTTGACATTACTCTTAAAAAAGTAGCAATCAAATTTTTATTTCAACTTGGATGTTTAAGAGAAATGAAAAGAAAAGAAGAAATAAAACTAAAATAAATACTGAATCACATGTCTGTCGGACTATCGATAGGTCCAAAAAACAATCGATTGTAGGGAAAAATAAAAAACATCGATACTATCGATAGTGCCATCGATAGTTTTGCACCTCTAGTGGACTCAGCTTCTGACGTTTTGAAGAGAAAAATATCGAAAAATTCTCAAAAAAAAAAAATTGGCTCGATAGTCGAAACTTTGTAATTTCGCATTAAGATGGACGCCTTAACTTGAAAAACTGGAAAACTCGAAACTGAAAAGCGAATACCTTCATGTAAATAACAGCGACATATTGAGGCGCCTACTCCTGCAGTACTGCATTCAGTGAAATGAAAAAAAACGAAAAAAGTAAAGCAAAATCTTGTAAAACAAAAAAAAAGGAACAAGCAGAAACAAGAAATTTCTATGTCATTTGATTAAGATAAGAAAATGAATTATGAATAAATGAATAACAAATTAGCGATTAAGTAAATTCCCCTTTCACTAGGCATATTTGTATGTATTCATTCCGAATTTCTAGAAAAGGGCAACAGGTTCTATTAACATAAGGGATATCCTCAAATCCTGAAGGCTGAAAATTTTTGTATGTCCAACATTTTGCAGTGTTCAGACATCAATTGAAATTTATATATTACTAGCAAATACCCGGCGTACTTCACTGCGCCTTAAAAGAATTTTCGGTTTGTTTGATACAAATATTGTAAAATTTCATTTATTTTATCAATTTAATTGCATAAAATTTTACAAACAGGTGGCAACTTGGTGGTAAACTTTCTTAAACCTCTTCAGTTTCGTGCCGATATTTCAAAATTCAATTTATATTAACAATTATATTCAATTAGAATTTTCAAACAGGTGGCAACCTTACACAGAAACATTTTCGGCAGTAAGTCTTTTTAAAGCTCTTTCTTTAAACAGCCATATTGGAATTTTTACTTTATCTTATCCACTTACTTAAACAGCAATTTTCAAACAGGTGGGAACTTCTCATCGAGATTTATGCATAAAAATGTTTACATTTTGAAGCAAAAAACAAAACCTACTTCAGTTCTCTTTAGTCGATAATCTACCGACTTTTGTACAGAGCTGAATTGCGAAAGAAAATGAGTTAGTGCCTTTCTTTATTAGGGTAACGATATATGTACACATGACTATCCTATAATTAAATCAAAAATTGTTTATCAATCAAAAGATTAGTTATACAGCACCCAGGCATATACATATGTATATATGTATATACATATCCATGTGACTAAATATCATAAAGGGCCGTACGAAAACAACTAAGCAATTACGTTTTCTTAAAATTTCAGACTCTTTACTTGATTTATTCAAATAAATTTAAGTAAAAGCTCCGAAACTTTTAGAAAAAGCAATTGCTTAGTTTTTATTCAAACGACCCAAAGTTTCTCTTCGCATTTTTTTTAAATTTATTATTTAGTAATAAGTCATAACATTTTTCCGAAAATAAAATCGTTAAATTTATTATATATAAGTCGAAACTTTAACCTTGTAAAACCTTTGGAAGAATAAATTTATGGAAAAATCCAACGTGTGTGTGTGACGTTTGTGTGTCTTTTGGATTATGACACTATTGAAGTAAATTAGCGATATATATGTGCATTAGGGTGGTCCAAACTAAAAAATAAGGTCGGGATTTTAATGCTTTAGATTGGCGCTTACACATATGTTAGTGTTTGGCCGAGCTTCTCCTCCGACTTGTGACGTGCGCCTTGATGTTGTCACACAAAGCGGAGGGACCTACAGTTTTACGCCGACTCCGTAGGGCGATTGTATTTTTATGAGAAGCTGTTTTTCATGGCAGAAATACACTCGGAGGTTCGCCATTGCCTGCCGAGGGACGACCGCTGTTAAGAAAAACCTTTTTTTTTCTAAATTTGTTTGCGATGTTGCTTTGACCAGGGCTTCAACCCAGGCGCTGCGGTGTGGAAGCGCGCACTACACCACAGCGGCCAACAGAAAAAAATTATACCCCGGTTTTTTTTATTTAAAAAAAGATATATTTAGAGGTCGCTCAAAGCGAGTAAAGTTTCCATATGTTTTAAAAGGGAAAACACCAAGATATATAGCTCTTGAAAATAATACTAAATATAATATATAAAACTTTTTTTCTTTAGGGGACTGCCAACAATAATACCCAATTCTTTATTTGACTATTTTCTATTTATTAACTATTTTTTTATAGGACCCCTAAAAACCTCAAAAAAATTAAATAGGTACCCCCAATAAAAAATCACTAGTATTAAAAAATAGTAAAATGAGCAACTGCGTATTGTTATTGCCAGTCTCCTGAAGAGAAACAAAGCTTTCGGATCAAAAAATATTGCTTTTCAAGAATTTTGTACCATTTCTACGAAAACTTGTTTTTCCCCCATATAAAATACATGGAAAAGTGCTTTTAGTGCTTTGAGCCTCAAAATAAAAAACGAGGTATCATTTTATTCGGTTCAATCCTAGGGAGTGAGAGCAAAAAAATTCAGACTTTTCTTTTTCACGTGCACTTTTGGAGCACACTAATGTACACGCAAAAATATGTATGTTTTAAACTACATATTAGAGTGGTCCAAAAAAATAAAATCGGAGTTTTAATGCCGGCAACCCTAGGATTGAAAAGAAAAACTTTAAATAAAACTAAATAGCTCTACAAATTCGCTTGACAATACATTGCAACTAGGGATGTTATACCAATTCGAGTGAAATCTCTTAAATTTTCGCAATGGTATATTAGAAGGAAAATTATTCACCCTTAACCAAAAGGAAAAAGGATTTTGTAGCTCCGCCCACAAACGCTAGCGACATCTGCTTGTCAAAATCTATGTTGCCATAAAAATGGTGCAGACACATGAAAACGATTTCAGTCAGCCGGTATGTTCTCAGATTGAAACAACAGCAGTAGTGTAGTATATTTCCGACAAATTATATATGTTTAAACTTTTTAAATCTATAAAATTACTCTCATTGTTTCATTCATGCTAGAAAAGCTGGACGAATACTGTTAATATAACAATTTCGTTTATAGATTTAGAATGGACTCTACACTAAATGGCGGTGTTGGGAATGATGTCGAAACTTTACCAGCCTGGCTGAAAGTAGTAACTTTCGAGAATGCAGCACGCGCCAGTGTAGGCGACAATTTTGCGAGACTAGTCAACGCTCGCTTTGAAAGCGATTCAAAAAGTAACGATAACTATTCCTCGTTATTGCTGCGCCTCCATTTGGATATCGAACTCAAAGGTTCCCACATACCGATACAAATATACTTGCATTCGTAAAAATTTTATAATCGCTTAATTAATCTATTGAAATGTCACTTGCAGATGGTAGCACAAAAACGGCGACTTTCGTTCTCAAAGCGCCACACAGCAATGAATTGATGTTGAAAATATTGAATTTATTGAAACTCTTTCCGAAAGAAGAAATAACTTATCACAAAATTTTACCGAAATTCGAAGAGCTATATGAACAAGTGGGAAAAGACGTTAAATTTGCACCCAACGCATATCAAATCGATCGTGATATTGGTGTGGACTACATTTTGCTAGAGGATCTGCGTCCAAAAGGTTATAAAAGTGCCAACCGAATTAGGGGTTTGGATCTGGAGCACACCAAGCATGTGCTTCACAAAATGGCCGAGTTGCATGCCGCTTCCGCCTGTTATGTGGAACACTTTGGCATGTATCCCGAGCAATTCACTGTGGGCGTTTACTCGAAAAACAATAAGGAGCTTCTGAAGGAGTTCAATGCATCCGATACATTTTTGGCTCAACTCAAAAAGTGGAAAGATGGTCAGGCCTACTATGAGAAATTGGTGAGTACTCGTAATAACACAGAGATAGAAACGAGACTATGCCCCCTATTCAAACCGAATGTATGTATGTACTCTAACAAATTTGTAACGGATGAATAGAAACGTACGAAAACGATTAAATATGATGGGATATTTTAAATCCTAATTTCAAAATAGAGATAGAGACATAATTCACTACATAAATTACACTGGTCGAGAGTCAAACAAACTCAAGAACGGCATTCATATTGCTTAATATCCATACATATGTATGTATGTATGTATGTATGCACGTACTTATGAACATACATATGTATAAACTCCCTAGGAGTGTTCTATATCGACAAAAATATACCAGTTTTTTTTTAAATAAAAAAATTGTCAGTGGTCGCTCAAAGTTTCCCAACTACTTTTTCTTAGAAACGGTAGAGATTCCTTGCTATCGGCTAACACTGCTTTTCTTCCGGAGTCCCCAAAGATTAACACCCAATTGTTTATTTAATCTTTTTTTTTAATATTAACGATTTTTATCGGGGGACCGACCCAGAAAAATAACTAATATTAAAAAATTGTTAGGTAAACAAATGGATATTATTCCTTGAAAACTTCTGAAAAAAAAAACAGAGATTGCCGATTGAAAAAAATAGATTCCCAAGGATTCTATACGTTTCGAAAAAAAACCAATCGCATAAAATAAATGGGAAGCTTTAAGCGCTTTACCTACGACCTCTAAATATTTTTTTATTTCAAAAAAAGGTTTATTTTTTCGGTATAGAATAATCCGACTTTAATTTCTTTGGACAACCCTAATACATACATATATATTAGGTGCCAATCGAAAACGTTTTTTTTTGTTTGGAAATTTCAAGAAAATATTATTGGCTACTTTTCTAGATTTTTTAAAGGTCATTTAGAGGTCGCGACCTGTCGATTTCGGTCAGAAAATACGATTTTGTAGGTTTATGGATTTTTTAATGACTATTTTCGATCCGATTTCAAATATCGAATACGATCTGAGAAAAGGATGTACATATACTAGCGAATACCCGGCGTGCTTCGCTGCGCCTTAAATGTAATTTTGTTTTGTTACTCCCTCTCACAACATTTGAAAATATTAGTTAATGTTGCTGTACATATTGGTATAGTAGGGAGATTTTTTCAAATTATATAAATGCGATAGTAGACTCCAGTTATAAGATTATAAATTAAATTTCCAAGAGAAAGTCGGTTCTTTACATATTTTCTAATTACCTTCGAAAATATATTAACTCAAAAAAAAAAATAAACAATGCTTCATAGATCGATTTTTTTTAAATCTAACTTCATAAAGTTCTTTAAAAATATTTTGTAAATGAGGCCATAAGAGCTTAGGGGGAGAGTTACAACACAAAAATACATTTAAGGCGCAGCGAAGCACGCCGGGTAATTGCTAGTAACGTATATTTATATAATTTGAAAAAATCTCCCTACTATACCAATATGTACAGCAACATTAACTAATATTTTCAAATGTTGTGAGAGGGAGTAACAAAACAAAATTACATTTAAGGCGCAGCGAAGCACGCCGGGTATTCGCTAGTTAGTTAATATTGCTGTACATATTTGTATAGTAGGGAGATTTTTTCAAATTATATAAATATACGTTATTTGAATATTGAATTAATACACGTTTGAGGAAAGGGTGCGATAGTAGACTCCAGTTATAAGATTATAAATTAAATTGTTGTCAATGTTTTTTAATAATTGTAAACATTCGCCAGCTGCTTCTGTTTATTTATTAGTAAAAGGCAGGACTGCCAATCTTGCGGCAAAACAATAATAAAAATCCAAAAAAACACGTAAAGCCAAACAGAATTAATTGCAAAACGTGCAATGATACACACATTAAATTTCTTATGTGCACCCTCCACACAGACCACAATCACTTCTGAAAATTTCATTTTATGTGCACCCTCCACACAGACCCCAATCACCCCTGAAAATTTCATTGAAATCGGGCAAGCCGTCTAGGAATGATAGAAATCTCTTATGTGCACCCTCCACACAGACCCCAATCACTTCTGAAAATTTCATTTTATGTGCACCCTCCACACAGACCCCAATCACCCCTGAAAATTTCATTGAAATCGGGCAAGCCGTCTAGGAATGATAGAAATCCGAAAAAAACACGTAAAGCCTAACAGAATTAATTTTTTTTTTTTGTTTTTGCAAAACGTGCAAAGATACACACATGAAATTTCTTATGTGCACCCTCCACACAGACCCCAATCACCCCCGAAAATTTCTTTGATATCGGGCAAGCCGTCTAGGAGGAGTATGCGAACAGGAAGTTTTGCCACTTAATTTTATATATATAGATAAATATTGTGGAGCCCGTGGGTTTTGTCCGATTTCAAATTTTATTAGGTGAATTTTTTTGGTTGACGGTGTTGTGTGTGTTTCTTCCATATATATATAAAATGTACGGGAAAAAAGCCTAGCATCGTCAGCAAAAAAAAAATATATTCAAAATCAACGCGATTTTCTAGCGTCTTGAAATTTGCTCTTTTGAATAAAAAGTTTAGCTTTTTTGGGCGTAATTCTTAAAATTTGTAGAATTTTTATACGAAGTTTGAAATGTGGATTTATGTCGTGGTGATCTTTTTCAAAAACATTATAAGCATTAAATACACAAAAGAAAAATAACCAAAACTGGTCAAAATGTCACTTAACTTAATTAGCTGACCATAAGGGTATACACTTTATAGGCCGACAGCGACAACTACTTGGTGGATCGTTTGCTGCAAGACCAAGTTTACAACCCAAGCGAGTTCAACGTACTCAACCACGGCGATTGCTGGGTGAACAACATCCTCTTCAGGTACAACGCGTTCGGTGAAATTAAGGACACTCGCTTCATTGATTTCCAAGTCGGCAAATATGGCTCGCCCGCTCATGATCTTTACTACTTCATTTTATCATCAACTGCAGCAGATATAAAAATTGCACAGTTCGATTATTTAGTGCGGTATTACTTTGATAACCTCGTTGAAAACTTAAAACTACTCCAGTATCACCGTCCCCTGCCGAAGCTGCGGAATCTTCACACGGCGTTGCTTAAAAACGGACTAGCAGGTAAGGGATACAAATTTATATTTCAATTTTTCTGCAAATCTGGCGAAAATACTAACAAAAATTTTATTTGCAGCCTACTTAGTTGTGTCTAAAGTTTTGCCGGTTGTTATGTTGGAGAAGAGTGGCAATGATTATAAAGAGGATCGCTTTCAAGATGAGAGTAAAATTAAACTGGCGATGTACACTAATCCAAAGTATGTTGAGGTAATGTCTGAAATCCTTCCGTGGTTGGATAATCGCGGCTTGCTTGACTGGAAGTAATTTGGAAATGCTACTCGTAATATTAAATATAAAATGCACTGTATCTGAGGTTAACATAAATGTAATATCACGCGATAGGTGAGAAATTCTAAAGCGATGACGAAACAATAGCGAATCTTTGATTACACTCACTGAGAAACTTTGCGTTTTAATAAAAATTGATAAGTACTATCGGAATTTGTATTCACTTCTGTAAATTCAAATGAGCCCAAACCAAAGCTTATAACGGCCAATGAGATTGCAGTGGATAAGTTCGGACTAGATACTAAAATCCTAATTTAAGCTAGGCATCTTGATTGCGTTTCGCGTGAATCCTTCGCATAGGCCACAACTGATCCTTAGTTTCGTCGAGAGTTTAGTGTGTAAGCATAGATTATAAATCCTGCTCGTGAGCCAAGGAAGATCAATCATGGCTTCCAAAATACTGGGCAGTGACACAGAAGGTGCTCAAGGGTGCCTTTCGGACTGTCTTCGTTGCAATGCTAGACATGTGTCAATCAGCGTGATTTCTATTCGTGCCTTGGGTGATGTTGTGAGTGTGATCTGGTAAGTTTCACAGCTGGCTATCGAAGATCGTAAGTGAAATTCGTATTATGAGCTATGCAAGCGTGTCGAAATTTTCGTCAAGTACCGACTTTTCTGTCGAACAGAATTTGGCTTTCGCTGGTGAAGCGAAATGTTAGAAAATTGTGAAAAATGTATGATTTTGCATTTTTTTTCTTACTTTATGGCGGCTAGGCACTTTTTATAAATTTTATATAGTTCTAACGTCGGGAATACTAAACGCAAGCTCGAAAGGCTGGTTTTAATTATGAAAGAAAATCCCAATACTCCGTTGACACGATCCTTTGAGAACAAAATCAAAGAGCTGTTTATAGTTTTAATACATTTTAAATAGCTTTGGATCACAAAGTTTCTTAAATATATTCTATGTCAAAATATATTCGAAAGACTACAGTTAAGCTCGCTTAAACTTTTTCTGCTCCTGGCCAGTTTTCTAAGCTCATTTTCTGACGAATCGTTGAACCAGAGTGGTTGAACCAGAACTTGGTTGTACTAATTTTCACCACATTTTATATAACACAAACGGCAATAACGCATAATTAGCTTTATTTCACTTTTAAATGGGAAATAATACCAAAATCTGAGTTTGGCTTTATATCCAACAAATGTTGGAAATAAAACAAATTTTGCCTTATTTCCCATTGCCTATTTATACTAGTTGTAACAAAAACAGTTTACTGATAGAAGGAAAAAGAACTTGTTTATTCCAAAAATACAATTAAACAAAAAATGTTATATAATTGCGGTATATGAAGAAAGTAATACTCAAAAAATTATTTTACTTATGAAAAGTCTAACAAAATAACGACTGCTGAGTGGAAGATCGACCTACTTATCTCGGCAGCCAGCTCGAAAACGCTCTATCTCAAAAAACTTTTCAAGAACGCCCTATTTCAGATTTCGTTTCAAAAACGGCCTATCTCAGCTGCCGATTCAAAAACGCCCCATATCAGCAAATTTTCAATACATTTTGAAGTGAGATAGGGCGTTCTGCAACCAAATACTGAGATAGCGCTGTTTTTCAATAAAATTCTGAGATTTTTGAGATAGGGCTTTTTCGAGCTGGCTGCCAAGATAGGTCGATCTTCCACTCAGCAGTCGATATAGGAAAAGAGTCGTCTTTAATAACTGCTCCACAAATTGGACATAGCGCTTTTGTATGAATTTTATCCGCATGCTTTTTAATATGTTGAAAACATTGCTGGAAAACCTTAAATTGTTTGCATGGAACCAAAGCGCAATTAACAGGTGAAGTAATAAATTTTCTGTCATTCGGCTGCCTTATAGTCAAATTTTAAAGGTAATTTTTCAAATAAGGCAGTGTCAGAATCTTTTACTCGCACGAATTACTTCACCTGGTATAATTCCGCCATGACATGGAACAAACAAAAGTGGCCGTTCCTGTTCGCAGCATACAACACAGAGAATATTGTTTTGAGTTTTATCTTCAGTTAAAATTTCTGAATTATCATCACTGGTTTCACCATATCCGAAATGTGGATTTCGTTTACGAAGACGAAGCGAACATATGGTACGAAATAGTGATGTAAAAAACAGTAAAATTGTACCTACTCTCAGACTCCTAAATTTGAACGTATACTCGGTACAAACAGGTGGGATGATTGGCGCAATAAACAGGTGAAGTAATAAAATAGCTTTCTCGCTTTATTTGCTGACAATCGGCTGTCTAATAGTCACGTTTTATAGGCATGTTTTCAAATATTTCTTTTCACTCTAATATTACTTCACCTGGTATAATTCCACTATGGGTGGGGTGCATGCAATAACACCATACGCAATAGTACTAATTTTACTGGTTTTTTTACTGGATGTCGTTTTCGTACGAAAAACTTGCAAAAAACTAGCAAAAGAGGGGAAATTGAAATAGCAAAAATGACAGCTGAACTTGCAAGTTTTACTGGATAAATTTTTACTAGCAACTATTTGTTATTTAGTAAAAAAAACAGCTGATGGCATGATGCTTAATGTAATTCACATTTGTGGTGCTTTTAGTCTTGCAATTGACAGAATAAACCTATTTAAATATATACATAACAAGATGGAAAATATTAGTTTTCGAAGAAAATTGCATCGGAAATTAACAAATTAATCAAATGTTCATAAAACTAGCAACTTCTTGCTAATAATAATTCCCATTACTTGGACATTAAAAAGCAGTTTCAGAAGTGTACTAGTGTTATTTTATTATTATTTTTTTTTTCTAAACGGTTATAATGACAGCATTGCATAATTGGGAAAGGAGAGGAGGGGGGGCGGGGGACGCGAGTGCGACGATTAACACGTGCCCAGAAAAAGGTTGTTTGTGTTTTTTGGCAAATGAGAAATTTTGAGTTGATTCACTTTTGAAGAGCGTGTGCCAATGTACATATGGATGTGTATTAGGAATTTGTTTAGTTCAATTGCAAACCCATAATAAGACGTTGGTATTTATTCATTATGTGTATTAGGGCTGTACGATTAATTGATTACTCAAAATTTTAATTAATCATAAAGTAAATAACTCAATTATTCGATTAATTGGAAATTATGATTACTCAAAAGTTCAGTTACTCGAGTAATCAAGATTTTTGATTAACCAAAAACAAAAATATTTGAGTAATTTGCTTTATGATTAATCAACATTTCGAGTAAAATGAGTAATCAACATTTCAACTCTTTACATATGTATAAAGAAGTTAAAGTTCCTTGATGCTTTGAAAACAACGTTTCTGTTTTCAAAAATGTAAACGAAAAATTTGTTCATATACAGAATGTAAAAAAGAAAATAAGCATTTTCCAAAGGAAACTCTTTTAACGAGCAAAGTTATTTTTTTTGAGTAATCATATTTCGAGTAACTCGATTAATCATCGTTTTGAGTAATCAAAATCTTGATTACTCGAGTAATTGATTAACCGAATAATTGATTAACCAACTTGCTCGAGTAATCGAATAGTCGCACAGCCCTAATGTGTATGTATGTATGTATGTATGCGTACACATTAGGGCGGTCCAAAAACAGTAAAGTCGGGATTGTAATGCTCCCTCCCCCTAGGATTGTTCTATATCGAAAAAAGTATACCCCTATCTTTTATTTTGAAATCCAAAAATATTTAGAGGTCGCTCAAAGCGCTCAAAGTTGTCTATGCATTTTTATAAGGGAAAAATACCATTTTTCGTAGAAATGGTATAGAATTCTTGAAAACCAATATTTTTCGATCGGAAAACTCTGGTTCTGTTCAGGAGACTTTCAATAATAATACTCAATTGTTTATTTGACCATTTCTTAATACTAACTATTTTTTATTGGTCTTCATTTTTCGGGGTTTTTTTGGGTTCTTGACGGACCTATAAATTATAGTTGCGATGAAAAAATTGTTAAATAAACATTTGGGAAAAATATTGATTTTTAACTATTCTATACCATTTCTACGAAAAGTTGTTGTCTACCCATATAGAATACATGCAAAACTTTGGGCGCTTTGAGCGACCTCTAAATATTTTTTGATTTCAAAATAAAAAAATATGGTTATATTTTTTCGGTATAGAACACTCCTAGGGGGTGAGACCATAAAAATTCCGACTTTACTTTTTCACATGCATTTTTGGACCATCCCTAATGTACATATGTATTTGTTTGAGAATGTGTCATTCTATTGATTTTATTGACACTTGTTATAAACTGCACGCATAGTTGCCACAGTTGGTTGTTTCCAACCAAACTTGGTGTTTTTTTCTTTTTCTGGGTTGGTTGTTTGGTAGTTTTTCTCTGGTTTGGTACTTTGTTTTTCAATTAGAAATGAACAAATTTGTTCTCAAGCAATTGGTTTAGCAACCTAAGAGCATTTCAAATATAAATGATCTAAAAAAATATCACAAGCTTCAGTTGTCGTGGCAATAGTAGCATTTTATAAAAATCACCAATATTTTTGCAAGTTTCACAGAGACCCAGTAGCGCATTTCAAAGTCATTGAGCACCTTGTATTCGTTACAGTAGAAAATGAAAGTTGGTATATTACAAATATCAAAAAGAAAAAACTGAGAGGGTGCCCCGTTTTCTAAGATGAATTTCCTCCTCCCCCCCTCCCCCCCCAATCCAAAAATTGGACCACCCTAATGCACATATAACTAAAAGGTAAGTATGTGATTGAGCGCACAAGTATTTCAATTATTTTTGATTTCCGAAATAGCAACTATAACTTCTACCAAAATGTAAATTAATGTTATTTTTACATAAAATTTTCAATAAAAAAAACCCGGCCTCAAGCTCAATAAAATTGTTGAATTTCTGTTTTTTTTTACTAAGTTTTGCTTTTTGTAATAGAGAAGTGGATAAAAAATTAGTTTTTCTTTCAATTTGGTTGTTTTTTCTTCAGATTTTGGTTGATTATTTTTATAACAAGTGGCAACCGTAACTGCACGTTTCACTCTGTGTTTTGCCCAAATATTCTTCTTTTATTTTCAAATTAATGACCGCAACGGATTCCTTCTTTATTTAATATTGAGAGCAACTTCTCAGCAGATCGTGAGAGATTTGGTTAAATTGAAAGACAGATACTCATTGCCAAATAAAAACAAAACAAAAAAACATTTCATTCGATACATACATATACACATATATATGTGCATAGAAAAGCTTTTATATTAAGCACAAAAATTAAAACAGAACCTGCCAACTGATAAACCGCTCTTTGCGTAAATATTTAAGTACAGAGAACAAGTTTGCGGGTGCTCTCGGGTAAATAAACAAAAAAGTGTACACAAATGTCCCGATCCCCTGCTTAGACTCAGCGATTTCGTTGGGCAAGTAAAAAAGTTTATTAAGCGCTGAACAACAGAGGGCTGACCAAAAAGCGGGTGTGGGCATATTTACATACATATGTATGTATGTTTGTCGCATTGATGTACCTATGTACATATTTACTTTAGTACATGTGAACACAAGCGCGCTGCTAAGTGTCGAGGACAGAAAGTGGTACAACCACACTGTGGTGCTTAGATACGAGTATCTACGTAAAACTGCGCCAACTGATAGCGAATCGAAAGCGCAATGCGATTGTGTGCCTCCGATTAGCAGTTACCGCTCAACAGTAGGATACAGAGGAGGCCTCACACGTCAAACGATCACTGCTCGCTTTTTGAATAAAGAGCCAGGCCTATCGACGTGCGTTACTGCGAAACACCAAAACCATGCCCGACAACAGCAGCAAATTTAACCCTGATGCACAATTGGATATCCCCAAGTGGATAAACGTGAAGTACTTTGAGAAAATACTCCACAAAGAGGATGAAAACTTTCAAAAAATCTTGAAACTTACAGTAATTCCGGCCACACCGCCCGGCGAGAACTACACATCGCTCATGATGCGCATACTAATGGATATAGAACTAAAAGGTATGTAGCTACATAGGTATGTTCTTTTATAACGGTAATAAAAGATACCTACAAAGTCATTGTCTTCAAAATCAGAATGAAGTATGTATGTACGTACTACATATGGAGTAGTCGAGCTCTGAGTTTAGAATACTCCCGATCCATGCAAAAATGACATTTTTGAAAATTAGGCTCTTTTAAAAGCTTGTTTACATATATATACATATATATTTTAAATGATAACTCTGGATATATGTACATATACATACATACATATATGCAGTGTTTGGCATGAGCGCTGATTAAGTTGCAATCACATTGTGGCTTTGTTTGTTTTTTTTTTTGTATCTATTTTAATATTGTTCATCTACATCCGCTTCGCTTTACAAACTTACAGATGGATACACCCAACAAAAGGCGTATATCGTCAAAACAACGCTGGACGACGACAAGGGCGGTACACTCATCAACGCATTAAATCTCTTTCCGAAAGAGAAGCTTATGTATGAACGCATTTTGCCAGAGTTGGAGCAACTCTACCATGACCTCGACAAGAAAGTGAAATTCGCTGCCAACTGTCAATGGATCGAGCAGAAATCCAGCCGCACCACTATTGTGCTCGAGGACTTGAACACGAAGAAATTCCGAAACATCAACCGGCTTCAAGGCTTCGATATGCTGCACATGAAGCGAGTACTTGAAAAGCTCGCCGAGTTCCATGCAGCGACCGTCATGTGGCATGAGAAGCACGGCGCGTTCCCAGTCGAGTTCCAGAAGACTTATCTACCGGCCAACTATCAAAAATCGAAATCTTATCAAGCGCGCGTGCAAAGCTTTAAGGCAGCGATGGCGACGTGGGGCCTAGATGACTATGACAAATATGTGGAACGCATTGTAAGCATCTAGGCGAAAGAAAAATTCGCCACAGTTAAAATCTAAAAAACTCGTTTGATTTCAGCCAAATGCCGAGCAGTTCGTTAATGCAGCCATGAGCTGCTTCAACTCTGAACCCAGTGAATTTAAGGTGCTGAATCATGGAGATTTCTGGTCCAGCAATATTATGCTGAACTACACTTCCAGTGGCGAGGTGAATCAGATCCGCTTTGTGGACTTCCAACTATGCAGATGGGGCAGCCCAGCACAAGATCTATGGGAGCTAATCGTCTGCTCGGTGGTGAGCAATCTGCGCATTTGGGAATTCGACCACTTCGTTCGAATATATCACACTCACCTACTCAAGTGCTTGAAGTTACTAAACTACGAGAAAGCGGTGCCCAAACTAAGCGAACTACATATCAGCATGTTAAAGCACGGCTTCTGGGGTGAGTGACAATGAAACTGTGGAAAATTTTCGTTTCGTTGTGATCAAATAAGCATGGCTCTTTTTATAGGCTACAGCACAACGTTCACACATTTAGTTCTAATACTGCTGCCGTCAGATAAAGACGCCAGCCTGCTCAAGCTAATCCAGCCCGGTGAAGAGGGGGACAGGTTTCGACACAAAGCTTATACAAATCCGCTATATGTGCGAGCCATGTTGGATATTTTGCCGTTTTTGTATAGGCGAGGAATTCTGGATTTTCACTAGGCTTATACAAATATTTATTCAATTCAATATTGATGTAAAAAACACAGTCGATCAAAACACATACATATGTACATATGAGATGCATCTCAGTCATTAAACGCACAATTTGTGGAAGAGAAAATTTTTCGGAAATCGAATTACTTTCAAAGTAATAGCTACTAGGTATTTTCGAAATCGTTTGGATTTTATTTATTTTCGCGCGATTGGTAACAATTCTGCTCATTTTTAAAAAAAACTAAAATTATGGTAAGTTTTCCTTTTTTTTTGTCATACATTTATCTGTAGTAGTTATTAACAATTTTCAAAGAGATATTAGTGACTTCTCAATTTCTTAATATACATTTTATTAAAAATTACTTGCAGAAAAAAATTGCCGGCATGCAATGAGACGAAAGTTATTCACGTTTTTTCTCTGACGCACAACAAGTATCGACTGCAGCGAGTCTAGCGGAGTATGCCAGATGCATTTCATTGTCTAGAGTCAGTCTGGCAAGCGCAGGTTGAAATCGGGGTTGAGAATTGATAAAATTAAATTGTTGCACGCCGCTTCATAATTGAAGAAAAAGTAGAGAAATGTAATAAAAAAAAAAATAATAATGAAATAGATTACAATAGGAATATTTATCTAACTCATAAACGACCGTTAAACGTGATAAAATTATGAATTTTTATGGAATTTATTTTAGCACTTCCATCGGCAGTTTATCACGTTGGCTGAATAACCCTAATGTAATTTTTAAAAGAAAAATATCCAAAAATAAAACGAGTCCAAGACCAGTGCCCCCGCCATTTGCGGCTTCGTAGTACGTCGTTAAAAAAGACCGTTTAAAGCACATTTTTTGGGATATGTATATGAAGAACCAGTGTCGCCCCTTTTCGATCCAGCTCCGCGCGAATTCTGTATCAGTTAAATTTGCTGCAGTGAATAAACCAATGTACATTAGTATGTAGACATGTACATATGTATGTGCATATCAATATGCGTACTTACATACATAAGTACGGATTAAGATTCATACTAGGGATGTTAATTTTTTCGCTTTTTACGATCCCGGGATTTTCAGGATGTGGTTATCACAATCCCGGTATTTAGATATTCATTACTTTTCAACAACTTAAATCGAAAAAATTCCTTCTATATTGTTTGACAAGCTCTCCTACTATACATAAAATAAATAATAAATAAATGGGTTTGAAACCTACTTTTTAATTTAAAGTGGCGTTTTTATTTTTTCTCCCTGACTCACTTTAAAGTACTTTGTAATTTTAAAGATATTTAAGATATTTTGAATTTAAAAAAATTAAAATTTTTTGGATTCAAAAGGAGTAATAGGTAATTTTTTAAGCTGATAGAGATAGACGGATGAAATTCGTAGCTGTTATCGAGTTTATATAGCTCCTTAACATATAGTTTTTTTCAAAAACAAATATTTCGAAATTTCAAGGATAAAATTTTAAAAGGACATTTTAAATACATACTCGTCCACCATACTAGTGTTATACACCAAAACATTGAAAATGTTTAAATTCTACAGAATTTCCTCTTCAATTTGATACCCACACTTCCTCTCTAAGCACATTTCACTGAATTTTTTAAATCATTTTTGAATTACTGGCGTCAGCTTCGTGAATATATTGATTTTTTTGTGTAAAATTTACTATCGCATGGTGTTATATGTATAATGAGCTACATTTATAAAAAAAAAATTAATTATGAAAAAAAAAATATATATATAGGCAATACTGGTCAAGAAAAGTGTTTCTCTTATTGCCATCAGTGCCAATCACAAATCCCGAAAATCCCGGGATTATTTGCCAAGAGTACCGGGATTTTCGGGATCCCGGGATTAACATTCCTAATTCAGACTATGATATAATACATATCCATGAACCAAAAATACAAGATCACGCCAGCAAGCCAGTAGCCCATTATAATCGCATTTAGGAAAAAAGTTGGGCGACTTTGACATATATCATGATACATATCGAGCCCTAACCGCTAAAATAATGTAAGCGACATTTTTTTCAAAATTTTCTTTTTGATGCAGAAATGCATCAGATGGCCTAGGACTACTTCTGCATTAAAAAGAAAATTTTGAAAAAATGTCGCTTACGTTATTTTGGCGGTTAAGGCTCGATATGTTCATTCTTATACGTATGTAATTAAATGTATGTACAAGCATTTGGATGTAACCTGCTAGTAATCAGGGTTAGAACTGCGGCAAGCCCAAATCGGAGAAAATGACGTGAAAAGCTGTAGCAGAAAATAAAATTCCGTAGTAGATTTAGATGACTACAGACCCTTCTTTTATGTTGTATAAGCAAAGCGTAACGACATCTTTCAATTGTTTTTCCGCAGCCTAATTTCTACTTGCCTTAGCCACAATGTCCAACTAAAAGAAGAAAATCACTCTTTGACCAAAGTGAGAAACCAAATTGAAAAACTGCACACTGAGCTTAGTTTAAACGACAAACAGAGTTAAACTCGCACTGAAAAACTGGGCCTAAAATTAGAGTGAGAGAAAGTTTTTCTTACAAAACCATTCATTATTGAATCATGGTATATTCCAGCAAACGAGAGGTAAAAATTATTCTAAAAATTACTTTCGACGATTAATATCGAGAAAAAATTAAAAAAAAATTATGCCTTTCCAAGAAAGAATGTCTATTAGAAATATTTGTATGTATGTATATTTATTTAGATGTGCCTACATCCAAACATACCCTGCAGTGAAAAATTATCAATTGTTAAAAATAACCAACTTATGACAAAACCGACTTAAAGTGAGTTGTAAAGTCGTGCAGGTGTCATGCAGACGCAATCGGGAGCTCGTTTTCTTTACAAGTTTCTATTTAAAAATCCTCATACAAAAACTGCTTTGGATACATTTTGATTTGGCACTTCACAAATTCTTTTTCGAATCCAGGACAAATAAAATGAAATTCGAAATTTTTGCATTATCATTTTGATGTTATGTCTGACGGAATTCCATTATAGTACCACCTGCTGCAGTATATGTACTCAAATATGCAACGTTGAACATAAATTAAATAAATAAAAATTTAAAAAAAAATTAAATTAATAAAAATTAATAGAATGTTTTTTATATTGATATTTTATGTCTAAAAGTAAATAGTTACAAATTAGTTGACATGTAATGCAGAGGTATCCAGGTCTGACTTTTTTGTGGCCATCGCCCCACAAAAGTAGTTAGCTTTTTTCGAACAAAATATACGGCTAATAGTTAGCACTCGTGTTCGCGTGAACAGACTAAATTTTGGTTGGTTGGTAAGTTAACGTTGCTCCCTGCAGGGTACATACATACATACATACATATAGTAATATATCCATGGTCAAACATTGGCAACTCATAACTAGCAATTTGTCCAAAATAGAGTTGCATATGTACAGCGCCTACGCGAAAAGATTTTCTGCGCAAAAATACTGTAGTCGCATGAGTAATTTTCAAATTTGCTCTAAAAGCGTAGTAAATGTACTACGATCACAGACAGGTTCTAACCCTGCTGGTAATCTGCTCACTGCCGACTCAACAACATTTGCTTATCAACATTACGCTTTGGAAGCCAACCCTTTTTAAGCTTTTTCAGTTGCTTCCTAATCAAAATCAGCTGTTGTCCGCAACAAAAGTACATATGTATGTATGTACATTAGACTGTATCACTACCCATACAAAAAAAAAAGTGCTATTTTTCCATTGGAATTATAAAATTTATTATATTTTAAGACGTCCACCAAAATATTTCGGAAAAATATTAAGATTTAAGTGAGCTAGACCGATTTGAAAATACCTATAAAAATGGACTTTTATATGAATAAAAATAGTTTCTTAAAAATTTTTTTTGAAAAAATGCCCTCAAATGTCAAAACGGTTTTAGCTTAAAAAAATTGCATAAAAATATTTAAAAAAATTTTAACGGAATCGTAATAATGAGATTTTTGATGCTGTTTTTTAACTTTTTTCAAAGATTGGTATAAGAAAAACTTTAATAACACAGCCTAAACTCTTCCGATTTAGACTTAAGGTGTCATTGGAAAGGTTTTTTCTCATCGTTTTTATTTCTTTGCTAATAAACTCATTCAAAGGATGACAGAGAAAGGTAGGATGAACGAACGTTATTCAAAGTTGAATTAAGATGTGTTGGTATTTGAACAATAAAAAATTGGGATACGAATGACTTTTTTTGGACAGAAATAAAAACAGTGTGAAAATACCTTTCTACTGAGATCCCATAAGTCTAAATCAGAGCATTTTTGGGCCAGTTATTCAAGTTTTTCGTAAACCAATCTTTGAAAAAAGTAAAAAAAAACAGCATCAAAAATCTCATTCTTACGATTCCGTTGAAAAAATTTTTAAATATTTTTATGCAGATTTTTTAAGCTAAATCTAATTTGTCATCTGAGGGGACTTTTTTCAAAAAGTTCTTTAAGAAACTATTTTTATTCATAAAAAACTTCATTTTTGGAGGTATTTTCAAATCGGTCCAGCTCGCTTAAATCTTAATATTTTTCCGAAATATTTTGGTGGACGTCTTAAAATATAATATATTTTGTAATCCCGGCGGAAAAACCGCAACTTTTTTTGGTGATGCAGTCTAATGTACATACGTATGTATGTTTGCAAGTGTTAGCTTTTCTAGCCCCCTTCGAATTCACTCTGACAGAGTATGTCGCTCTTTGAGCAAGTGGGACAGACAAGGGGCGTATTGTGTACTTAACTGGGACGGCAATAATAAAAACAAAATTAACTGCTGAAGCCAGCGATAAACACAAGCACGTGAGAGCCGACACAATGCTCGCTTGTGAGATTTGTGAGGTTCCCAAAAGCACAACACAACGCCGATCGTCACTAACCCACAAGCAACGATTCAGCTACACATCGACGGCCGGACACTTATCGCAAGGGAGTTCAGTTTAATCAGGTGACTAAATAGAAACATCATAAATTTTTAATCGTGAAAAATGAAGTTAACGAAATATTTAAAAAAAAAAATGCGTTTTGCTGTAGATCTACTTTCGCTTCTACTCTGCTGTTGCAATGGGAACGGGTGCAAAAAACTACCAGCCCCCAGAATGGATTACAGCTGAGTTTCTGCAGGATGTGCTAAAGGAATATTTCAAGGACGACACTTTGGAGGTGCGCGAGATTGTGGTGAAGAGTGCATTGGGCGGGGCGAATGTGGGCAGCGGCTACGCTAGCGAAATGCACCGCGCCACTTTTAACTTGGCGCGGAAAGACGGCACCGGCCGCTTCTCCGTGATTATCAAAGTGAGTATGGCATATATATACATTGTATGTATGTACTTAGTGCTAATATTCTATTCACGTACGGACGTAATGGCACCTCAGGATCACCCCAAGGGCTACACTGGCGTCGTCGCACACAAGAGCAAACTGTTCAAGCGCGAGATTGTGGCCTACAAAGAAATTTTGCCGCGCGTTGAGGAGTTGCTTGCCTCCATTGGTGACAAGACGAAAATTGCTCCCGCCTGTTACTATACCACCGAGACTCCTGAGCCATTCCTTGTGCTGGAGGATATGCAACTAACAGGTTTTGAAAACTTCGAAAAGGGCCGCTTGCTTAACCTGGACTACACCCTGCCGGCCATCGAGAGATTGGCAAAGCTCCATGCGTGTTCTGCTGTTATAGCCAAAGAGACGCCTGAAGTTTTGGAGATCTTCCACGAAGCACCCATTTCTAGGAATCCAGATCGCAAGGATTTCCTTGGCTTTTTTCCAGTGAACATACGCTGCGTAGCTGAGGAGCTGACACATTGGAAGGGCTACGAGGAGATCACTGAAAAAATGTTTAAATTGGCCGAAACTGTGCTTCAGAATGCAGTGCAAATGTACGAATCCCACGACCAAGGCTTCCGCGTTTTCAATTCCGCTGATTTGTGGATTGACAATTTGATGTTCCATATAAACAATGACACAAAGGAACCCGATGAGGTGGTTTTGGTTAGTAGCTTAAGTAGCATGAAAACAAACTATGTTGTCATAGATTTATCGTTTTCTTATTTTATTACAGTTAGATTTCCAGCTGTCGTACTATGGTTCACCGGCAGTGGATCTGAACTATTTCCTCTTCGGCTCACTTAACGAGAATGTGCGGAAAGTGCATTTCAAATATATAGTGCGTGAATACCATCGAATTTTGAAAGAAACGCTGGAGAAGCTCCACTATGACGGCGAGATACCGACGTTGAAGGACATAAACATCGAGCTTATAAAGAACAGCCTGCAAGGTAAGATTGAGAGTTAACGGTGACTGCCTAAAATTATACAAAAATGGTGTTTGGAATTGTTACGAAATACATACATTTATGTGTGTATGTATGCATGTAAATTGCAAATTTGATATCACACTTCTTATGAAACTTCAATCTTCTCTGCATACAACCTGCAGGTTTTTGTGTGCAATTTGCTAAAATCAACATTTGTTATAATGTCGTTAAATTTCAGGAGTCATCGCCGCCACTTGTCTCACTCCACTTATCTTCATGGAGTCAACGGGAGATGAAAAATTGGAAAACCTTACCACGCGCACTGAAGAAGGTGACCAAATGCGACGCCAAAATGTAGAAAATCCAAAATATCGCGCGTTTCTCCAGCGTACAGTGAAAGAATTCGAGCTCTGTGGCTTTTTAGACGCTTGAATGGGCATACATTAATATGTATTATATGGTATTTGTTAGATAAAGAGCAATATATAGAAAAGTAATGAACATAAAAAAAAGAAAAGATAAATAGTCAGAACTATTCAAAATTTTGAGGTGCTACCGCTTTGTCGCGGGCTGTATGTGTATGTTAAAGAATGCAAATCTATTTTATTAAAATATTGTGTTAAAAATACATCACTTATTATCCTCGACCTTCTATTTATAGTTTACATGATTTATAAGTTGGAATATTAAAATATAGTATACGTATGTCGGCCGCTGTGGTGTAGTGGTAAGCAGTGCGCGCCTCCACTCCGCTGCGCCTGGGTTCAAGCCCTGGTCAAAACAACATCGAAAAAAAATATAGAAAAAAGGTATTTTCTTAACAGCGGTCGTCTCTCGACAGGCAATGGCAAACCTCCGAGTCTATTTCTGCCATGAAAAACAGCTAGTCGTAAAAATACAATCGCCGTTCGGAGTCGGCGTAAAACTGTAGGTCCCTCCACTTTGTGTGCCAACATCAAGGCGAACGCCACAAATCGGGGAGAAGCTCGGGCAAACACTAACATATGTGTAAGCGCCAATCTATTATTATTATATATGTATGTACGAGAAAAGTTGGTGGAAAGAAGTATACATGAGGCTAACGTGCGTCTACCAATATTTTTCAAATTATTCAAATTTTCGACGGGGCATATTAGAGTTGTCAAACTATCGATGGCACTATCGATAGTAGCGATAGTTTAAATTTTTTAGACTATCAATACTCATTGATAGTTTTTTCTTATACTATCAAAAATATCGATAGTTTAGTAGGACTATCGATCATCTCTACCAATTATTTTGAAAATATTTGAATTTAACTTGAATTAAAAATTCTGTTTTTTAGTGTGATGCCGACGTCATATTCAAATATGCCCGCATTTAGGCCAAAATACATACATATGTTTGTTTTGTTTGTATAACTTGTGTTTGTTTTTGAACTTTCTAAAAAGAGAAGTATTTTGGCTAAGCATTTACTTAATTTTGAATGATTATAACTTTTATAAGATATTTATTTCACTATGATCCTGTAAAAACAAAGCAACCTAACTGATTTAGCGCTATCGATAGTGCTATCGATAGTTTTGTTTTTTCGAGACTATCGTGAATATTGATAGTTTTTCTGAAAACTATCAAAACTATCGATGGCGTGACTATCGATAGTTTGACACCTCTAGGGCATATGAATAATATACACATAATTGTTCGATGAACCCTTCTTTGATAACCCTACTGAAAGTTGCTGAGAAGGTAACCATAAGTCTGAGGGACGTATCATGGTTTCCTTGAGGGTTAAAAAAAAAAACAAAAAAAAAATATTTGGCGCTTATGTGTTTGGCCAAGCATCCTCCAATTTGTGGTGCGCGTCCTGAGACCTAGATTTTTACGCCGGTTCCGAACAGCAAATGCAGGTTTGCCATTGCCTGCCGAAGGGCAGGAAAACTTTTTTCTAATTTCAGATGTTGCTCGGAGCAGGAATCGGACTCAGTTCCTACGGGGGTAGTACGCACCTCTAACCACTCGACCACAGCGGCCGCATTGCTCAATTTATCTTTGGAATACAAATTTTATCCTCTCAAAAATTGTCTTACTCTTTATGAAATAAGCACGATCAGGCACGCTTTGGCCTTATTTCTGTACTCCAAGCTTCTTTATAAGCCATTTTCAATTGCATTTCATTTGCTAGGTTATTTCTACCAGATCACTCCACCGCGCTCTTAACAATCAAACGGACGGATAAAATGTCCAGTTTAATGGAGTGACAGGCAATTCTTACTAGATTGCAGGTAGCCAGTTTTCATCAGTGAAGAGTAGGTTGGCTTCTTTCGCAAAAGATCCCAAATAACATTTGAAACCATGTATGTATGTATAGACCAAGAATGCGTTGAGCCAAAGTGATTTTCCAAGCGGAACTTCGGCAATTCGGTGTAATTCCAGCGGTACCCTAAAACCCCACTTTTCATCAACTGGGATCAACAGTTTGGAGTGCCAAAGTGTTCTCTCGGACTGATTACTTCCTGAAAATGCTGAGAATAATTTAATTTTTCGGCAGAATTTGCAACAATTAATCAACAGGACGACCTGAATTGAACTTATGGGAACTGCTTGTAGTCATGTGTGTGCTGGAAATAAACACAGTACCGAACAATAGGGGTATTCTCCGAGTCTTGCAAAGCCCTTGCACGTAGCGCGACTTGCACGGATTGCATAACTTGCAAACACACACAGCAACAAAATACATGGGAAACAATAGGGCTATTCGCGATTTGGTACATAAGAGCTGACAAATTTATGCAATTGCAGAAATATGCCATGGATTGTGAGCGACCTTTATTAAACTGTCATGGTAAAGCTTTTGCAAAACAATTTTTGTGCATCAGCTTTGGTTTTGTTTATGAATGCAATGCATAGCATTTTTATGCTATGGATTTTAGGTATTGCAAATTTGTCAAGCCATGACAGCAAATAATTTGCAATACAAATTTGCATTGCAATGATGCTAGGCCATTTGCACCGGATCGCGAATAGCCCTAATATATCATATCGCTGTAAAATATGCAACGTCGAAACCCATGTATATACATATTTTGCAAATAAGCATAGAAAAATAAAAGCAACCGTGTGCTAGTTGTTTTGCTGTTGGAATCGCCACATATTTCTCTCATTCCTCTCATCTCGCTCACTTCATCTTTTCTGCTATTTCTTGTTATGGTATTTGATACAGAATTTCGCTGCTTGCTATCCATACATGCTACCACTTTGCAATGTAAACTTCCAAATTGGGAATAGTATTTTTACATTTCGTAAGCTCCGTGCATCGTGCTAGAATACCCCTAATTTAATAACTGAAAATGGCATTTGATACACTTGGCCACAAATTCATCGTGACCTCCTCCAAAATCTTATTAAATGCATTCCAAAGGGATAATGGTGGGATTTTACAGAATCCATCGTAGTCCAATTTTTGGTGAATTTACGAAAGTGTGTATTCAAAGTATACGCTCCCTTTCGTAGCTATACGATTCAGTGATAGCCTTTCCCTAGATTTCACGAAAAATCGCACTAGGATGGATTCTGCGATAGCCCTGATTATAAAACATTTGAGAGCAGTGGAAAACGCATAAATTATAAATACTCCCTGTTATCTGGATTTTTTTGAATATGTAGATAGTCTGGATATTTGAATATTAGAACAGAATTAACAGATATTAACCAGACAGCAAAATTAATGGATATTAACGGGTATAGAAAACAGAACGGATATTAATCTGATATCCGGCATTTCGTCCGTAAACACATACAGTCTCGTCAAAAATGTACATATTTTTCTTATTTCTTATAAAAAAATATAGTTGATTCAACAGCAAAAGCCACAAGAATACATTATTTCATTTCATATAGAATTCGGGAAAATGCAAGAGTTACCAAGAAATTTGCATCGAAATTTCCAATTTTTCAAAAATCAACGGTGACTTAAAACGTGCACTTTATTATACTAAAATTTAAAGAGCTACAGAATTGCATACTTAGAATTTCTCCCTTGAATTTAAATACAGAAATTACTTCAATGCTACCTTACGAAAAGCATTCTCATTTGCTTATACCCGCATTTATATTTTTACTATGTATTTCTGGAGAAATTCTCAGCTAATTCCTTCAAATTTACTCGAACGTAATCTACCCTGAAGTAAAAACTTAATCCTCAACTAACAGTTCCTGCGCATGGCGACATTTCGTCGGGTAATCGCGTGTGCGAAATTACGCATCTTTAATACTTTTAGAAGTTTTTAATCGTGTCTCCTCGCGTAATCGCCTTATCTGAACAAATAGCCTATTTGATTTGATAATAGTAATCCCTTTTAAAATGTAAATGTTTAACCAGGTATAATATTTAATAAACATACACACACTGAGCTTTTGCAACGTCTATAAAAAGATTTAGCAGCCACAGACCTCAAGTTCCATTTTCAGCGCATTTATGCCAAATATGTATAAACAGATGTCATTAAACTGTCTAAGTAAGCTCCTTGGAGGGCGGCCACCACCTTACCTAACCTAATCTGTGTATATTTGTATGTATGTATGTGCATATGCTTAGGCCTCTCTGAAATTATTATCGGTGTTAATGCTGGTTCCCAAGGTTCTACTTTCTTGAAATTATAACTGTCAAATGTCTGTATTTTAGGGCCGTGCGATTATTCGATTACTCGAGCAAGTTAGTTAATCAATTATTCGGTTAATCAATTACTCGAGTAATCAAGATTTTGATTACTCAGAACGATGATTAATCGAGTTACTTGACATATGATTACTCAAAAAAATTAATTTTGCTCGTTTAAAGAGTTTGCTTTGGAAAATGCTTATTTTCTTTTTTACATTTTGTATCAAGGCGAATTCATATAAGGTGGTAGCGATAGTACAAAAATAAAAACTTACATGTATTTTGTGTTTGCTTCCGGTACACAAATGTCAAATTTCAACTACTCTTCGCTCAAGGAGGAAGTGGGAAAGCAAATTCCAATACTCGTACTATCGCACTCACTCATGGGAAGTTTTGAGATATGTGTACCGAGGCGAATTAAAGCAGCTGCTCTAGCAACACCACCTTATATGAATACGCCTTGTTTTGTATATGAAAAAGAAAATTTCATTTAAATTTTTTAAAACAGAAACGTTGTTTTCAAGGTATGAAAGAACTTCAACTACTTTATATGTAAGGAGTACTTTGAAATGTTGATTACTCGTTTTACTCAAAATCTTGATTAATCATAAAGCAAATTACCTAAATATTTTTGTTTTTGGTTAATCACAAATCTGGATTACTCGAGTAACTGAACTTTTGAGTAATCATAATTTCCAATTAATCGAATAATTGAGTTATTTACTTTGTGATTAATTAAAATTTTGAATAATCAATTAATCGCACAGCCCTACTGTTTTCTTTCACAAAAATTTGAAAAAAACTTCGATTGCATAGCTTAAGAACTTTTTAAATTTTTTCGCTTATTTGAAATTTCGGTTTTGTAACAATTCTTTGGAAGCCAAAATACAAAACTGTTTTCTAATCTATTTGATAGGAACAAAACCATCATTTTACCGAAATAATCCCCCTGATAGAATTTTTTGTTACTTAACACATTGCACAATCTTTTAGGTCGATTCTGAAGAAGCAGTCAGGTCATGTGTTGCTGATCTTTACTGCAACTACATAGTACTTACAGCATTCGATCTAATTTTACAACTATTTTAAAGAACCCCAGGAAAGGTGTCTTTAGAAACCCTCACACACGTCTGAGCACATCTTTGTACTATGTAAATAGTATTTACTAAATAAAAAGGGGTATTCTACATAATTTACATTTTACATACATAAATTAAGTTCGACGCCTCTTTTTTATTTAATGTTTTTCTATGTTTATCCTAATTGTATATTCCATGCTATACATACATATCCTCCTTTTTAGGGATTATTGGTAAGAAATTTGAATGCGAACATTTACTTTCAATTACAACCTATTTATTTATAAAGCTAAATACCACAAATATCACAGCCAGTTGAACTACTGTGTAACTTCCAGTAAGCCACGTCGTTCGTACAACGGCAAGAGCTGCTTGATTATCCGTTGAACATAGGGATTCTTAAAGCAAGTATCCTTGAAGCGAATGCCGCGTTCGTCATCTTGCATTATTGCCCGGAAATCCGCGTCTTCGGTATCTGTGTTGCGTTGAATCGGTAAAACAATGCAAGTTGAGTGAAAAGCTGTAAGCAAAGCGCTTTTATTAGAATATTGAACAAAGCAATCAGTTGGCGAAAGCTATCTACTACTTACCGTAAAATGCCTTTTCTTCTAGCTGCAAATGGAACTTGTGCAAGCATGGAATATTGGCCTGGTAGTGTAGTTTGCGCAATGTATCCGAGAAGGTTTCGTAGTAGCAACGTATAAGTTCATCCTGTTGATTTAAATGCAATCGCTCTTCCAATGAGGTGTTGAGGAAATAGTCCAGATCCAATGCTGGGGAGCCCCAAGTTGCATATTGGAAATCAATGATGATCACATCCAAGGGTTCGCCGGTATTTTTATTATATTTCACCATCACATTATTTGTCCAGAGATCGCCGTGCGCCAATACATTTACATGGCCTGGTGTGGCTTCGAACACTTTCTTGCCGATTTTGGCATAGTTGGACTTCAAGCTCGCCAACTTCTGCGCGTAATACTCGTACCCGTCCCACTGGGCAACACGACGACTGCAAGCCATCATCAGTCCTTCAAACCCGGGCATATAATTGTCTGTGTGCTGATTGAAGAAACCACGATCATAAATTTCCAGGCAGCCACTTTCGCGTTCATTCAGCACTGCAGATGTAGCATGCATCTTAGCTATCTTGCGCAGCACCATTCGGGACAAATCCATATTTAGTCCGTCCAACCGATTGGGCATGATGAATTCACGCACGTTGAGATCCTCGAAAATGAGAGCGGAACGTTCACGATCCACCGCCATTGTTTCGGCGAAGATCTGTTCGTTGTCGCCGATCTCATGCAGCAGTGCGTTCAACTTCGGCAACACCTGTTCATAGATGGACATTTCGCGATTAAAAATATCGTAGGGTTCCATTGTTTTACGCGCAAACTCATCAGCCTCATAGGATGTCTTCACAACATAGTGCCCAGTGGCCACGGTGCCCGCGCCCGTTTGATAGTCGGCGCGTATGCGGCTTAAAACACCGCCATAGTTTTCACCTTTTCCCAGCGCTGGCCGGATGTGCCACTTGAGTATTTTTAGATGATTATCTTGGTGGTGAGAACGCAAACAGCGTTCCAGGTAGTCCTTTGTGAGCCAAGCAGGCGCATGTGACTGCTCGAAGTCCTCGTTGTGTTGGGAAGCGTTGGAGCCGCTAAAAACTTCCTTCGACAGTTTCGACAGCAAATTCTCAGTTGAGCTCATAATACTTATATCAGGCGTCGACATATTGCACTCTTATCAACCAGAAAACTACAGTTTCAACAATTTTGGTGTAGTAGCAAACATGCGCCCTACTCAAGGCTTAAAAGTCAAATAACAAACGCAATGCTACAAAAGCTGACTTTTTATCTATCACACAAGCGAAAAGAAATACACATCCGAGGACCGAGACGATACGACTTAGACTACATACTTTTATGAGTACTCTGATTTATAGCATTGTTATAGAAGAAACACATTTTTTTTTAAGTATTTATTTAAATAAGCTCAGCTGCCACAACAAGTAGCCGTACAATTTTTTGAGATGAATATTTGTAAAGCGCAAATTCTAACCATAAATTAGCGTAGAAAGTAAGTTACATGCACCCCAAATACGTAAACGCTTATACATAGACATGTATGTATGCAGGTAAATACTGTGTACGCAAATGGAAAAACAGCACCCTGTCGAAAATATTTTAGTTACGAATAATTTCTTGCCGCCAAATGTAAGGCTAATTTCTTCCATTGTTCTATTTTAATTAAGTAAGAGAGCCAGGGTGGCTATTTTAGCAACTCTTGTTGTAACGTTGTCCTAACAAATCGAGAGGCAGAAGGCCTAAACTCCAACGCAATGATGATGACTTTTTCGTTACACTATGCCAGTATATCAGAATGGATCCAAAGGCTTGCCTATAGATCTAGCTATACATTTATAGACGGCTAATTTTTGTCATGGCTCAAAGCGCTGAACCTAGAATTTGTACATCTCCGTAGAGAGGATAAGGTCCATTTTTATCGAAACGACATTTAGAAAGCTTTATGCTCCTAACGGAAGTCTCTAACCTAAGTAATAGATAACTCTCGCATTCAAGTTTTTCTCGAAGGTATTACCAAGTATTTCAAATCAGCCTGAAACTTTGTTCAAAACTAACAAACCGCGCGAATGTCGACCGGATATTGAGCAGCGCTCGTTGTATACACCCTTACGACGTAGATTTAGACAAGGCCGGCCTGGGCTAGGGAAGCTGAGTAGTCACCGGACCTACTAGTCCGAAATTCATATGTGAACTTAATCGCAGAATCATAGAGACATCGAACGAGCCAGCTACGCCGGCTAAAAAGGCGAAACGCTATGATGAAGCCATGCCGTCAAACATCAAGCGTGATTCCTAAGTAGCGGAAGAAACAAATGTGAAGGCCAATAAACAGAACCGGCTTGACTGTTTGGGTGGTTCCACAAGCTGAAAATAATTTAATGCAAGGATGACCACTCACTAAAATGACCGAACGAAGTGGTCTAGATGCTCTTCTTTAAATTCTCGACTGAAACTGTATTCGGTCACAATCAAAGACGAAGGTGCTTATATATCAAATGATTAGTCAAGGAAACGCAGTAGCAGAAGGTGTAGCAGGTTTCGAAACAAAGTCGAGGGATGGAAGCCAGAACTACATCCTAAAAAAACAAAAAAAAAACGGCGGATGATCTGCTATACGCGCGACTTTAAAGGATGCACCGATGGACGGCTGATGTTAATATGCTGGAGGAGGGTGAGGTGGCAAAAGATTCCGGCATAGGAGACTTTGGAAGTATTATACATATATGCACATACCTAATGCTAACCGCTCAGCGATATCATAAAATATCAACGAAATATACGTAAGCGAGGAGAAAAAGTTAAACATTTTTAGTGCAATGACGCTCGAAAGGAGCATACGGCACTGGGAATGCTCTCACGAGGTCACAATGCAAACATGTATGAATTTTAAATTGAATGTCACCATGTCGGGAATTATTTTTAAATCGCATATTCTATTTGAATTGAAATAAACCTACTAAGTACATATGTACATGCTTACTTAAGCCGCTTCGTAGTCATAACAAAAAGGAAGGCATACAAATATTATTTATAGCGCTGCCAATTAACTAACAGCTCTTCTGTCTGCCTCAGTGAGCATTTGAATTGCGTCGCTTTTATCTAATCCGCAAACTAATAAAGAGCAAGATTTGTTTAGGAAAGCGCTTTGAATTGTAAACTTTGGGAAGGTAGCATCTTTAACCCGCTAAAGCCGATCATCAAAGACCAAGATTGTTTAACGTAAAAACTTTTTATTTTTTTTCTTCAGTCAAACGCCAAAATCGGAATTCGCAGTGGAAGTGCAGATGGGTTAAAAAAAGCCTTGAAGTCTGAAAGACCTTTTTACGATCGCAAGACACCCCAGTCGTAAACGTTAATCTTTGCGTTGTGAAAGATCTCCAGATGTTTCAAATATTATCAACTTATCGATTTCTTTATTTATTAGATATAATTAGTTACAGTTAGGAGAACTAGCTACCAGGGCTTTCGGCTGATTATCAACTTAACCCTCATCTTACCAACATAAAAAAGTTGCAAATTTTACCAACATGTGTCTTCAAGACACATATATGAAAATTAAATCATAATGATTGAAACTTGAAAAGATTCGGGAGTAATGTTCTGCTTTGACACCATCCAAGTCGGATGCAAATTTTTCCAAACAACATTATCCGGCTATTTCACAAATGCCAACTAAATGACAGAAGAATGTGAACGGCCATCTATTTTATTTTCTGCGGCAAGTAAAACTATACGCAAGTTGGTTCAAAGTATCTACTGCGCCCGTAGTTTGATTGTAATACAAATTTATTTCTGAGTTTTTTTTTTGTTTTGGGTGTCGAAAGTAGGTACCGAATGCATCGAAGATAGGAAAAGAACTGCTCTTTTTGGTGCTGAGACATAACTATGACTTTGGTATATTTTTGGTGAAACCCAATATATTTGTTTCGATTTGCTTTCCTGTTTGGTAACACAACGTGTACCTGTAAGTTTAGTCAGTTGATTTTTTTTTAATTTTTTGTTGAGGGTGTTCAGAATTTTCTTCCATGTAACGTATGAACAAAATCTATTTTTATATGAAAGGAAAAACACCCTCGACAAAAAAACAAAAATCTAAAAAATCAACGGTAATTTTTAGTGACTTGAAACTTGCACTCATTATATTAATTCAATGGACTACAAAACTGCATACTCGAAAATTGTTTAAAAATTCTGAATAAAAAGTTTAAAATTTTTTGAAGTTTGATTCATTTTTATGGACTTGTGGAATTTTTGAAAATTTTATTTCTGTGGTTTCTGTTATAGATCAAACTATATTTTAAATGAATATTAATAAACATCAATAAAAAAACAAGAGTTGTAATAAATTTCATTTAAATTTTGCTATCTACTATTATTTTCAGCGCTTCTATACATACGTACATACATACATATATATATGTACATATAGTTTTATTGTTTTGCTTTATCTAACCTATATTCGTATAAATAAGCATTTTAGTTTATCGTTATTTTACGAAAAATTCAAGCATAAGAGTATGTGCCTCTGAGACACATGTTGGCAGTTTGTGTTACATTTTTTTGTTTTGACTTATAAAAAATATAGGAGCATAATTTTCTTTGCTTATTATTTTACTGAACTATTCAGAATATATGTAAAAAAAAACACATAAACTCTGGTAGCAGTAAGTTGCATCATAACGCAGAAACAGCAAGTTAAACAACAAAATTTGTCTCACAGACACATGTTGGTAAGATTAGGGTTAAAATGGAAACTTATATACACATACATACATATGTACATATGTAAGTATGTAAATAAGGTAAAGTTTTATTTTAATAAAAATGGCCCTATTGTTTTCTAAAATGCCGACATGTTCACCGTTAAGCTTTTCTGTCGATTGTCGCCTTACTAAAGCAATCGTAACCTGAGCACGACAAAATGCTGTTCACATTTCGTGAAATGCTTGCAATAGCTTTGCTAAATTGACCGTAAATTATAAAAGTGTTAGAGCAGCAAATTCTTATTTAAATAATGCTATATATGTATGAAGAGCAAAGTGTTCAGAGGAGCTCGGTGTCTACATTATCATCGGTCGTTGAGCTATGACGCCAACCCAGCTCGTATAAAAAGACACAACGCACTTCTAAATTTTGATTAGATACTCGTACACTCAGTGCGGTCGCAGATCGAGAGCAACAAAACAATATGGATGCACCAGAGTGGTTGACTGAGAATTATATGCTGGAAGCATTACGCGTCCATCACGAAGACCCCGGTCTTCAGCTACATTCTATGCATGTGCAGCCGGCAATGGCAAGGGGCGAAAACTACGGTGGCGTACTGACTCGCATCAGAGCACAGTACCAACTCAGCAACAGTAAGCAGAGACTAGAAAGGAGCTTTATCGTGAAGACATCTTTCGAGGAGGATCCCATTGCCAGCGCCATAATGGCGCCCTATGACATCTTTAATCGTGAAATGCGTATTTACGAGGAGGTGTTGCCTAAACTAAACAGATTGCTTCGCGAGATCGACGATACGGACCAACTCTTTGCAACGGCCATACATGTGGACTACAAACGTCAATTGCTGATTTTCGAGGACCTTAGTGAGCGCGGCTACGTGATGGCCAGTCGCTTGCAAGGCCTCGACATCACCCATGTCAAGTTGATCTTGCGTAAGCTCGCCAAAATGCATGCCACGTCGGCAGTACTCAATGAGCGGCAGAACGGCTGTCTGGAAACGTACGATCGCGGCTTCTTCAACCGTTACACAGACAACTACAGTCCGTATTTCGTCGGATCTCTGCTTGCATGTGCCGAGTACATTCTGAAGAATATGCCCGACCGTGCGTACTACGGCCATAAATTGAACGCGCTAGCGCCCCACTATATGGAAATTGGTAAACGCTGTTTCGCGCCAACTGCGGGACATATTAATGTATTGGCACATGGCGACCTCTGGGTCAACAATGTCATGTTCAAATATGATCCGAGGACAAGCGAGCCCGTCGATGTGCTTCTCATCGACTTTCAATACACTTTCTGGGGCTCACCGACGCTGGATCTGCATCACCTTTTCAACACCTCACTGCAGGAGCCACTACGACTACATAAACAGGATGTGCTGTTCCAGTATTACCATAGTATTTTTAGTGATGTCCTGCAGAGGCTGAACTATAGTACGCATCCAGTGCCCTCGTTGAACCTCTTCCGGCAGCAGGTGGAGCAGAAACGATTTTTCGGTAAACTTGCTCTGAAATGATATATATGTACATACTTAACTTATTTGTAATTGTCTTTCTTTCCATACTTTCAGCGTTCCATTCTTCCTGTGTCGTACAGCCGGTAATGATCAGTGAAGACACAAAGGATGCCGATTTTAATTCGCTGATGGGCGAGGACGAGCGTGCACTGAAGTTCAAATATAATGCCTACTGCAACAAACAGGTGCATAAGAATCTCATAAATTTGCTGCCATTGTTCGACCGACGAGGACTTTTGGAGGCAAATCAGGCGGATTGATCAGGATGCGGTGGGGTGGTCCGATTTTTGTTTAATGGAGTCCCATCAAAAATGGAACACATGACAGGCTTTACGTTTATATGTCAATTTCCAAAAGAAATGCAATATGTAATCATTTTTAAAATTTATTTCGGACTGGTCTACTGCTAAATTTTAAATAGGCATTTATAAATATCTAACGGAACAAGTTGTTAGCGAAATTAAAAAAAAAAGAAAAAAATAATAATTTTGAATTTATCAGAGATTATGATTTTTACCAGGATAACACAGGATAACAATACTCAAACGAAACACTAAGTTGTTTTGTCAGAAGTTCACTGATACATAGTATGTATGTATAGTATGCATGTATGTATGTATGTATCTTTGTGCAAAGGTAAAAATGCGATTTCGCTTTTGTTAATTTGTCCATTCAGAAATATGGGTGTATGTCTTTAGGGCAGCTGTAAATTTTTGGATTTGTTTGAAAAATATATTGCATATGCATTTATGTATCTCGTTTAAAAACGGCTGTTGTACATAATTAAACTTGAAATTTCTAAAAGCAATTGCGAATTCTAGTTTAATTGAGCAATTATTATTAATTTTTATTTTTCCCACATGCTCGTCTTTTATATGTAAAACCATATGTGTTGAATCTTGTATATATGTATGTATGTACATACATACATATGTATATGCACAAGTGTTATGCATATCGTTCGTATCCCTACTTTTCTGCAGTGTTATATATGTATGTACATACATATATATATTGTTTTTATTTTTTATTCACGAAATAGATACTGCTGTTTTTTTTTTTTTAATATAGCATTTATACGAAATGCTACCTAAATTTTTTTATGCACAGAGGTAGTATACATTTATCAGTCGTTGATGCAAAAGGATATAAGCTTACAGCTAATTGTTCTTCGAAACACGTTATCAAAATGCATATATGTACATACATACAGTCAAGTGAAATTTAGATCAGTTTAGCTATTTTTTTTTGTTTTTTTTTATGTTTATTAATTTTAGTTAATTATAAAGTACCTAAACACCACATAAACCAAGGAAAAGAACAAATTTTTTATTCATAATTTTAACAAATGCTATGTATGCAGTTTTATAGCCCATTAAATTCTAGTAAAATAAAGTGCAAGTTTTAAGAGACTAAGGGCCAATTTCACAGTGCGTAGTTAACTCAGAATCGACAGTTAACTAGAGATTTTCAGTACAAAATTCTGTAGTTAACTCCCGATTCTGAGTTAACTACGCATTGTGAAATTGGCCGTAAGAATTCGCGTCGATTTTTGATATTTTTTTTGCCGAAAAACGGTATTTTGATCCTTTATTTCATTGTAAAACTGTTAAAAAAAAATCCTAATGTTCGTACCCCAAAAAATGTTTTTTTTTTTTAGTTTTTTGCCCGAAAAAATATGCGAGTTATTCGCATTGGGTGTATAACTAAAATATTACCGGTGTTTATCTGTAAAGAATACGAAGTTACAAAATATGGACTTTGCATCGGTTATAATTGTTTTCTTATGCACACGCACTTGACACGTTATGTTGTGCGCATAAATGTATAGCCAGAAATCATGCACTCGAGTGCATCTTTTACCCCAGCGAAAGTTCCACTTGAGTCGCATCCCCATAAAAAATTGTGCGACGATGCTCTAAAGAGAGTATTCCGCAATTAGTCTCAATGGGGTAAGTACAATTGGCAATTAACGATTTAGTGATATGTAGGCACTTAGTCAACGAAATTTAATGTACGGCGTTGGCATGTAGAGAGAGCCTGGGAACCCGATTCGAATCGAATCTGGCAATGGTAATTTTTTTTTTAAGAGGGACATGAACAGGTCTATTCTGCGTTGGTAACAAAAATTTTGTTACTGGTAAATAAATAAATAAATTAATTAATTAATAAATTTTGTCATAAGCAGAATTTATACAAAACTTCATAGCTGAATTGCTGCATAGATTAAATTGTTACCAAGGTACTTAGGATTGCGGTTACAAGAAGTAGTGTTATTTGTATGTAACAAAATTTTCCGGTGTCAAAATTTTCGGTAGCAAGCAGAATAGGCCTGTTAGTCTCTTCATAGGACATAATCAAAGAAAAGGGAACATTCATTCCATATCAAGAGATCGAAAGTGGTATTAGTGGCATGTTCCTTTGCGATTGCTCCCGGAGCTATATACGTACATACCCAATAACCATTGGGCTTGGTTAGCAATTCGAAAATGATTGGAAAACCAATCTTTTTTTCGAGTCTTACCTTCGATAACGAATGTGCAATAGGTTAGTATTCAATTCGAGAACTAAGCCATTCTGCTGCAAAACGGCACCTATGTTATCCAATGTATTTTCGCCACGTTATGAGTTCGCAATCCAGCCCATTATCGAATTGAAGTTTTATTGTGAGAGAGCGATTGTCTTCTCTTTTCCTTCGAGAATGAGCTGGATTTCACTTTCTCTCTTTTTACTATGGTTTTAATTTTTTTTCGAACCCATTTCGAGTGTATTTCACTCACAGAACTTCACAGAATTCTTAAAAATCAATAAATTTCGGTCGGAAAACTCTGGTTCTCTTCACAAAAACTTCCAGTAATAATACCCAATTCTTTATTTAACCAACTTTTTAATACCAAAGATTTTTTATTGGTCTCACATTGCATTTTCTGGGGCTTTTGGCGGACCTATAAAATACAGTTACTATGAAAAAATTGTTAAATAAACAATTGCGTATTATTATTGGGAATCTCCTGAAGAGTAGCAATTCTATACCATTTCTACGAGACTTTAAGCGACCTCTAAATATTTTTTGATTTCAGGAAAAAAAACAGGGGTATTTTTTATATATGAGTAGTCCACTTGCAAACAGCGTTATGTGATTTTGTGATAGAAAGCCACAAATTTAAAAAAACGACTACGACAACAAATAACATTTCAATTGAATCTTTTCCATTATTATATCATATCCATATTAACATAACATAACATAACATGACATAAGATAACATTAACATTCTATACGACCTAAAGCAGTTTTCTAAGTTCATCAGAAGATGTATAGTTTGGAAAGTTTATAAATAAGTGTGATAGCGACTTTTGGAAGAATAGTTCAAATTTGATGCTATTTTTTCAGAATATAAAAAGATTTTACACTGTGTTGTTAGTGGACATGAAACTACTATAAATACTGGTACGTAATGCTCCAAAAACTAAAAATCGAAAAAATTTTACATAGCGCACTTTGCAAGTGGTCTACTCATATATATATATGACAATCTTAGGCGGTGGGAGCATTAAAATTCCGACTTTACTTATTTTGGACCACCCTAATGTGCACATATGGATATCTCCAAACTGGCGTTACGTGACGCTCGTGTGACAAAATGTTAAAAAATAAAGAATTGAAGAAGTCAATAAAATTCAGTAAAAAATTACAACTGTTGATAGTAGCGATTTAAAGATATAGATTACAAAATTGCAAAACTCTGCGAATTGGGCAAAACTATATGGATATAAGCATTTTGTAGTAATATTGGAAATGTTTAAGGTTAACTTTCCAAGTAGACTTTTCGCTGGAATCGCCCATATGTAGATTCGTAGCTCTCAGAAATACATTTTTATCAATGTATCGTACCTTAAAATCGAGTCATGAATAATATAATAATAAAAAACGATTCCAGCAGTGTTTAGGAGGTATCAAGAATGAAAGATTTTTTGACGACAAAATTGTTAAACTTATTTCTTTGCAATGGCGACCGATGCGGTCTAATGTATATATGCATATGTATGCGAGCAGACGAGCGTAAAAGCTTAAACAGACGGCAGCGTTGATCGGGATTAACTGGGGCTTAATCCGGATCAACAGCAGTTAATTCCCGAGTTGATCCGGATCAACGCTGCCGTCTGTTTAAGCTCTAAGTGTCAAATTGTTGTATGTTGATCCTCTTCACGAGGGCATCTTAAATCTTATTGAAAAGAAAACGTAGAAAACCAGAATACACCATTTGCGTATGCCGAGTCCAACCATTACATTAGTTTTCTTAGTATTCTAATTCTGGAAACTATAGAAAGTAAAGCTTTTTCTCCGATTTGTGGCGTTCGCCGTTCAGAACAGCTCTGCACCACCTTCAACTTCTGCAAGGAAGTCTTATAAAAGAGAGTTTTTTTCAACTTAAGATCATACTAAAATTAGATTAACTGTACCTAAATATGTTGTGTTTTATTGTAAAAAGGCCCACGTGTCATACTTTCTAAACTAGCGCTGATACAGAACTTTCAATTAATTAAAAATTTGGCTAGTATCATGTAACATAACCTAATCATCAGTGATGATTGGAACAGAGTATTTTTGAGTACTGAGTTCTATCGGGGTCCTTTTGTGAATCGATCGTCGATCCTTTTGTGAATCGAGTTCTGAGTACTTTTCAATTAGTGGACGATATAACGAAAGAAAATTAACTTGTGTGGGTATGTGGTACTGAGCAATAATCTTAGTCCCCCGACTCAATTAAAATATTTCGCCATTTTAAAACGCCTACAACTGATTCTTTTTGCAAATAGGATATTATAATCGGAGCCGAGGGCGAAATGCTTGATCTTGAAAAAGATGGGCTATATTAATGCAAATTTTTACTTGCGTGAACTCATTTAACAATAAAAATGATATCTGTGTATAAATATTACAAAAATTATCTTTTAAATTATTACAAAATGATAAGGCCACAGTTGTGATAGCATTCACATTTTGCACTCTCATAACAGCTTTCGCAAATGCTTACAAAAGCACGCCTTGGCTGTGTGTGTGTAGAACCACTTTAAATTCCCAAACATTCAAACCGAGATATTTTGCAAAGCGTTAAGTCGCAATCAGATTCGCTATATAAGCCAGCGTCTACTAGAGCAAAGATCCGACTGTAAGAGCAACACTCGCAGTGCAAAGACCAACACTGCTGTGCAACTCGACCTTACTTACTTACATTGCGCTTGCATTTTGTTTTTTTCGTACAATGAAGGACACAACATTTCACCCAGCGCCACTTTGGCTCACCACGGATTACCTAGAGCCCATTCTACGCAAATACAAACAGGATGAAGGACTCACCATCACACAATTGGACATAAAGCCAGCGACGGCGAAAGGTGATAACTACGCCAGTGTGATGACACGCATCGGCATCGATTTTCTGCTCAGCAACAAGGAAGTCGAACATGGTTCGTACATCGTGAAGACTTCACATGAGGGCGATCCTGTCACGTCCAGCATAATGAGCAAGTACGATATCTATAAGACGGAGATGCTGATGTATGAGCGAATTTTGCCGAAGCTCATGGAGTTGCTTAGGGAAATCGGGGACAAGGACAAACTCTTTGCCGCCACCATTCATGTGGACTACGAGCATTCGGCTATTATTTTCGAGGACTTGGCGGTACTGCAATTCGTCACACCTGATCGGCTTGCTGGTATGAATGAGGTGCAAACGAAGTTGACGCTGAAGAAATTGGCTAAAATGCACGCCACTGCCGCTGTACTTAATGAGCGTATGCCCGGAATTTTGAATAAGTTGCAAAGGGGAATCATCAACCGCATCACGTCCGGGTTTTCCCCATTTTTCGAGGGTGTGGTAGAAGCTTGTGCTGACTTCGCAGGAAAGTGCGCAGCTTTGGGTCCATACTACAAGGACAAGTTGCTCAGGCTCAAGCCGCATATTATGGAATATGCAGCGCGTTCTATTGACCCGAAAGATGGTCACTTTTTGACGCTCACACATGGTGACGCCTGGACGAATAACGTTATGCTCAGGTATGATCCGACGAAGCAAGGCAAAGTGATCAAGGATATCATGCTGATCGATTTTCAATTCAGCGCGTGGACCTCCCCAGCTGCCGATCTCCATTACTTTTTCCACACCTCATTGCCATTGGAGTTTAAACTGCATCGCGAAGACGAGTTCGTGCAATACTATCATGGAATTTTGGCGGAGACGCTACGGCAACTAAATTTTGGTGGACATATACCCACTTTGCATGAGCTTTGCGTGCAGCTGGAATCTCGTCGATTCTACGGTACGTAAATAATAGCAAAGCTATACATACATACATGCACATGTAGTATTTTTATGTAACTATTATTTATATATGTATATTTGTGCACCTCATTCTCTGCAGCTGTCCTCTCGTCACTGACCTGCCAGGCTTTGCTGATCAATGACAAAACTGATGAAGCAGAATTCAATGTATTCATGGGAGAAGGTGAACGTACACGAAATTTTCACAACCTACTGTACACCAACAAGCGGACTCAAGACAGTGCCATAGCCTTTTTACCTTTCTTTGATCGGCGAGGCTTACTAGATGTAACCGATTAATGAGCGAATGTGTAATGAATTTATATAAATAACATATACAAACAAATTAAATACATAAGCGGTAGAGAAATAAATTTTACCATGTATGTACATACAATCGGGGTTCCACAGCAAAAAGCAAAAAAAAAATTCAAAACCCCTTGTAACTCAAAAACCATACATATATACACATACCTTTGTACATAAGTACTGTAAGTGACGAGCTCCGAAAAATTGCGGGCCTATTTTAGATAATCAACAATTAAGAATATAAATAAATACCAGTGACGAATCCACCGGGGGGGTTTTGGGTGCTAAACTACGTCTCAGTCAGTGGCGGACGCACGGGGAGTGTATTAATATGGCGCATATGTACGTATAATATGGCGTCTATATATTGAAACACCCCCCGTGGGTCCGCCACTGATAAATACAGCAATATCTTGCTATTGCGGAACTAGTTTATAATTAATAAATAGATTAGAAGTTGGGATTAGAAAAATCCCAACAAAATGAACCTACATATAAAATCATAGTTTGCGTACATATATACATATGAACATATTTTGTTGCATTATTGAATTAAATTTCTTTAAATTTTACGAAAATAAAAACAGAATGAAGAACTCTTTAGCCTGAAAAGACAGAATCTTGTGTATTATTTATTTATAAAGCCAAGGCGTATAAGTATTAATGGATCACTTATTTAGCGTAGCTGAGAGATCAAGGATTTAAAAATTAATGTAAACACGTACATACAGAGTAGGCTGCGTCGATTTTTTATGGGGGAAAATAAAAGGCATTTGACCGTTTTGTAATAGTAATATTATGATGTCTTACAGTCTAAGCCAATTGTTATTGGCCACGAAAGATTAATTTAAAACTTATTTTTAGCCCGCGCAATTGAATCAAACGAAACTTTGGCTTGTAATATCAAATTAAGGGTTATTAAATTTGGTACCTCACGTTCAGTTATCATTTTTCAATAAGTCTACAAGTTTTTAAGATATTATGGCACACTTTTCTGTAATCCGGTTCTTTCATTTAAGTAAAAGTTATTTATACAATTGAAGAGAATTTTTTTTTTTCAGAAAAAAACTGGAGATCCACTTAATTTTTTCGATATAACTTTGGTAAATGTTACTCGATCGATATGTATAATTACCAAATTGAAGGCGAGACTTACTGTTACTGATTTATGATAATAGTATGATGAAAATCGTTCAGATTATAAACAAATTATTTTAAAATAAAAAAAATGTTGAACAAAATTTTTAGTAATTTTCCTATATTTGCAATTTTTATATTGTATGCATTAACATAAGTAAACTAATTAGTGTTTCTAGAAGTTGTGCCTGTTCAGTGTTTCCATACTCATTTTCATAAACCAAAATTTTTCCACGATCATGCAAAATAATGGCTTTTCTATAAGAGCTACCGATATTGTTTCTAAATTTGCAAAAATTCGCAAAAGAAGATTAGAATATTTGGTATCAGCGACCTAAATGCACGCCAGCAATGTTAATGCTGTTCTTTACATCTTTCGACTATAGGCCAGTGCAATTATCAACAAAACAATTACAATTTGGTTGATAAGTTTGAGATAAACGATAAGCTAAAGCGCTGCGAGAAATGATATTGGAGTTTATCTTTTGCGTTAACGGATTCATTATCTAACAATATGTACCAAAACTTTTTGCTGAACCCAGAATCTTTAACAAGAATTGGTCGCATTCGACTAGTGTGCTGTGGGTCACTTGGCGGTCGATGCGCGATGTAAGAACAATTAAAATAAAATACTAATATTTTGCAGGCTTGTTATTGACTTCATGATACAATATATTTTCACTATTTCCAAGGGATTTGAGAAAAAAATAGATTTTCGACCCGCCCTAATTCAGAGCCATCCTTAAACTATTAGGCGCCCGGGCGAACTATGCATTGACGCTCTTTTATATTTGATAATAAAAGATTAATTTAAACTTTGCCAGCAAAACGCCATACGTAAAAGGTATGCCACAATGAGCGCCAAGAAGCTAAATTTTTTTTATTTTTATATAAAAATATCGTCTAAGCTTTAACCAAAACTGTGTAAATCACAGTTTCAATCTTTATACAAAATTTAGGAAAATTCAACAAATTTACATAAAAATTTCAACTTTTTGTTCTGAATTTTTAGAAAATTTTCGGGTATGCAGTTTTATAGCCCATACAAGCGGGCGTTATTGCACTGCATCCGGCTATTGCATAACGTTGGACTTGGTGCAGGAAAATGCTTTCTTCTATCTACTTATTTCTTATATAACAATAAGTACTGTAGCTTAATGGTGGCAATTTAGAATTTTCAAAACTCTGTAATTTATAAATTTCCCAAGCAAGCTACTGGTATCTTTTCAGGAAAATAATATTACAGACAGGCATTTTCGGTTGCAAGTACATCAAGACACTACTTTTGAATAAAAAAAAATATACTTATATACACTTAGGTCTCTTTTTATGCGGATTCGAATTTACGCGGTTTTTCAAACCATTATTTCGCAGTAGCGATTTTGCCTTTTTGAGAGTTTTTATTACTTTTTTCAGTGTGTAAAAGACAATGCTTCTGATAAATAATTTGTCTTTGTATTCTTACATAATAGCTCTGATCCAGTACTCCATGAACTTACAGGATTTTACACGAACTTGCAGGAAGTTGCAGGAAAAATGTTCCCGTACTCCAAAATCCTGTAAATGAGAGCGACTTTTGGAGAGTTGTGTAGAGAATGAAGTTGCAAGATTTTACCCGAACTTTTTCTTCTGGTAAAATCATGAAAAGTGTCAAGCAATCACTGGTTGACGTTTTTTACAGGAAAAATGTTTTTTTTGTTCCCGTACTTTTTGTTGTTACTCACTTTTTACTCTCACTTCAGAGAGTAATTTTGCTGTTTGACAGTTTTACAGGATTTTTCACGAAAAGTATTGGATCAGAGCTAATAATAATAATAATAGATTGGCGCTTACACATAAGTGGAGCTTCTCCTCCAATTTGTGGTGTACGCCTTAATGTTGTCACACAAAGGGGAGGGACCTACAGTTTTACGCCGACTCCGAACGGCGATTGTATTTTTACGAGAAGCTGTTTTTCATGGCAGAAATAGACTCGGAGGTTTGCCATTGCCTGCCGATAGGCGACCGCTGTTAGGAAAAAAACTTTTTTTCTAAATTTTTTTATGTATTCATGTATTTCTTGTGGTATTTTTATATTTTTTTTGCATGAACCGCATAAAAAGAGACCTAAGTGTATATAGCTAACTAACGAACTCAAAAAATGTTCTATCATTCATTTAGGAAAGATAGAAAATATGTATTATCTTTTGTAAAATCTACTTCCTAATCCGAATGCATCTTTCAATGACAGCGATGTCTTTGCTTTTACGTATTCGTGCACTTATTCTCATAAATGTTTAACTGTGTTTTTAATTACTGCCTGGTATTAGGGCCCACGTAATTTCGTTATCCATTTAACTAAACACAATATAATTCTATGTAAATATTTAACGACAATCAGAGAAGTTACATACTAATTGTATGGTTGTAACAGTGGCGGATTTAACGGTAAGCAAAAATGTCGGCTGGGCCCCCCAACAGAAGGGGCTCTCACCAGCAACTAGCTCGAGTGGAAAATCAGCAAATTTGCTCAGAAAATATTTTTCGTTTGTGCATTAATCTGCCACATTAACGATAAAACGCATGATTCATCAATTATTAAAGGCTTTGCAAGTAGCTTCTTTCTAAAATTTGACACTCCCACCCACAGTGATGGGCGTTCTTGAAAAAATTTCTGAGGTAGGCCGTTTCGAACTGGCTACTGATATAGTTCAATATTCCACTCAGTATCGACAGGCTAACCAACAAAAACAATAGCTCAATGAATTTGTTTGATTACCCTCTGGGTATTTATTATCTTGTACTAAACTTACAATAACAGCAACGATATTAAAAATTGAAACACCGGTTCAAAAACGCCCTATCACAGATCCCAGCTCAGAACGTCCGGATATTTATATCCACGTATCCGCTGGGTAGCGACCAAACACGTTTGGGATCCGAACTAAAGTGTGAAGAAGGGATCTTTGGTGCCACTGTCGGAAAATTCAGCCTCCACGACGAAACGTCCGATGACGGACTGAGGCTGATCGACTTCGCCGAGGCCCGAAACATGGTGTTGTGTAGTACTATGTTCTAGCTTTAAAAGATCCAACAAGAAACCAGATCGACCAAGTTTTGATAGGCGGAATGCATGCTTCCCGGGTTTTAGACGTACATACGTACACTCTGAGAGCCAAACATCGACTCGGACCACTATCTTGCAGCCAAGATACGCAAATGCCTCTGAGCAGAAAAAAAGAGTGCACCCAGCAATGCAAGGAAACGTCGAAATGCTGCAATCCCTACAGACCACTAATTTATTCGCCACTCTACTCTCACACCTGCACCTGAGAGCACTCTTCAACAAACCGACATACCGAACATATTTGTCGGTTTATGATATATATGTATAACAAAACTGGACCGCGAAGAGTTTTCTTACTGGGCCGTTTTGCTCAAATCCGCCACTGGGTTCTAAAATGTATGGTATAATTATCCCGTCGGCAAACTGCGAGATTGCATTATAAAAATAGCATTTATACGACAGCTAATAAATTTCACTCCGAAAAATATGACGAAGACAGTTTATTATAGGATTGAAGAGATGATAACCCTAGGCATAGGACACTGGGCAATGTCTAGGCCGAAATTTTCCTCAAGCGTTGTGAGGCTTAATGTTGTCTTACCAACGGATCATTCTAAGGCTGGGAAGCGTACCAAAGAGTGAATTATGTTTAAATATAAGGAAGTTTCCTTAGCTGCGCTGTTGTGAAAAGCTCTTCCCATCACGTAAGTATTTGATGATTAACAGCTCAAGGGAGCTCGAATTTATGTAAATTAATTACCATTCTTTGCTATCGATGAAACAAGTTCTGACAATCTGAGTTTTTAGGTTGGTTGCATAGTTACACGGCTTTGAGCATACGGTGAAAACGAGCTTGATACCCACAGGAACTCAAGATTTACCGCTCTCAGAAGACATTTAGTTAAGTTCCAGAAATAACCACCAATGTTTTATACTTTTCGATCCAATTTTATAAATATTTAATTTGCTAATTACAACTTATGTATACATAATATAACAATTGCTTACATGAGTATGTACTACTTTTATTATATGACGTTTATGGGCGCATATATATGTATGTCTATATACTATCTAAGGCACATATGTATGTACATGCTAGATATGGTGCACACACTCCTGCAACGGGCTTTAGGGTATTTAAAAAAAAGGCTCGTTTTGAATTTCTTCAGTTGCATCTGTTTGAACCGGGCGTTCACATCATTATTTTGTAGATTCAAAATAGGGCAAATGAAGGTAGAGGCTTGTAATCCTGCACCCGCTTGGTTAACCAAAGAGTATCTGGAGGCCATATTTCGCAGATATAAAAACGATGACGGACTTCATATCAAAGAAATCGATATCAAGCCCGCCTCCGCGAAGGGTGACAATTATCTCAGCGTTATGACGCGTTTAAAAATCAAATTCCACCTTAGCAGCAACACGACTGAATGTGGTTCCTACATTGTTAAGTCCACCTACGAAGCAGATGTTTTGTCCGCGAAAATCATTAAGGGCTATGACCTCTACAATACCGAAATGGTGATGTACGATAAAATTTTGCCAAAATTGTCACAATTACTTTGTGAAATAGGTGATTGTACTAAGATATTCGCGAATACTATTCATGTGGATTACGACAACTCGGCCATTATTCTCGAAGATCTGGCGGTATTCAACTTTAGGACTGCTAATCGTATTGAGTGTATGAACGAGACAGAAACCAAGCTGGTATTAAGAAACTTGGCTAAAACGCATGCGGCCGCCGCGGTGCTGAACGAACGCATGCCTGGAGTACTGAACAGACTCAAAATGGGCATGCACAATCGCTCAACCACAGGCTTCGCCCCATACTTTGAGGGCATGTTTGAAGTTTGCGCCAAATTTGCAGGCGATTGTGCGACGCTGGGCCCGTACTACCGACGTAAAATTCTCCAGCTGAAGCCACGAGTGATGGACTACTGCAGAAGTGTCCATGAGCCACCTCAAAGTTATTTTCACACACTACTGCACGGTGATCTCTGGACTAATAACATTCTTTTGCGTTACTCCGCCGAAGGAGCGGAAGGCGCTAAGCAACTTGAGGATGCAGTTCTGGTTGATTTTCAGTTTAGCAATTGGTCTACGCCGGCGGTTGACCTTCATTACTTTTTCAATACATCGCTACCAAACGAGCTGCGGATAGACCGGCAGGACGAGCTAGTGAAACATTACTACAGCGTCTTGGCGAACACATTGACGAAATTGAAATACGAGGCGCCTGTGCCCACGCTGCACGACATCTGTGTACAAATGGAAGCTGGACGATTCTATGGTAATCAAGGGAAATAAGTTTTGCAAATTAGAAGGAAATCGTGAACTCTTGGTTGCCGTTTTCAGGTTTAGCTTCGACTGTGATTCACCAGGCTGTGATGATAAACGACAAGACAGATGACGCTGAATTAAAAAATCTTGTGGGTGACGATGAAAGTGCGTCTAATTTTAGAGCTACCTTATATACCAATAAGAGAGTGCAGGAGAATATCAAGCGTCTTTTACCGTACTTCGATAGGAAAGGACTACTCGATGTTCCCCAATAAAGTGGGTGAAGCAAGTTTTTTTGCAGAAATGAATAATATGTATGTACCTACTTAATCGATGTGAATGAAACAAAAAAAAAATACATACATACATATGGTCGATTATTTGACTGGCAACGTTACACTGGTACGAATTTCTTTACAGTATGAATCAACTGTCCATTAAACAACAGAAAACCATGCGGGTTTTTTATGTGACCTAATAAGGAATGGTCCAATATATGTTTCCGTAAAACAAAGGTTTTGGTATCAAAGTTAGAGGCATTCGAATGTGCACTGGCTACGTTACACTATTAGGAAGCTCAATGATGGGTCGTGTCAGAAAGTTTGAAATTTCTGCGAACTTGGTGAACGAATATTGCTAGTTTTTCAGTATGTCATCTACAATGAACGCTGGAGCACATCTGCATACTCGATTACTCTAAATCTTAAGTCTTTAATCATTTTTCTGAAAAATTTTGGGCACTGGTACGTACGGTGCGCTTTAGTAAGTAGTATATGTCAGATGCCATGCCCCCTATGTATCGGGACTAACATTTCTGGATTAGAGGAAGTTATATATCGTTTAAATCGGTATATGTTTCATTGAAATCGAGCGAACGGTGCCTTCAAAAAAGGGATTGCAAAATTTTCCTGTGGCATACGCCATTTTCCTTGGCATAGATGCTATATGAATAAAAAGTGCTTGAAACATTGTATGCCGAATGACCGTAATCCTTTGAGAGAAGTGTAACAGAAACATTGTGGTCGATTTATCATTGCTCACGAGAAATCTATTTATCTTCAACCGGTAGACGCAAATGTTTACTAAGTACTCTACCTTTATTTCACAACAGGTTATGTAAACGAATAAACCTAAGCCACAGTCACGGGCATTTTACACTTCTGTAATTTCATGTTCGGGTGGGTCTCTATTTCATTTTCAATCTCAATTTGTCTACGACACTTTACCAGCGCGCGTCTACTATGTACACATATAAGTATTTTTGGTTTGTTTGTCTAAGTACATGCAATCGTACTATTAAAGGCCCGTCCACATACAACTTTGGCATTGCGTTGGCGTTGGTGTTGCTTCGACAGCAGCGCGGGTAACGCCAGTGCTTTGGCATAATTGCATTAAAAACGATATTTTCTGCCCACATTTGTCTAAAAAGAGAAAATATTTCCATTAATTTTAATTGTTTGCAACAGCTGACGAACGACGCACGGGAAGGGTTGAGAGTTGGCCATCTTTCGGCTTTGTGTTGGCGTTAGCTTTGCCAAATTTCGGCTATGCAAAGAACGTAAATCTATAAGAAGAGACAACACGTTATAATTATAGCGAGTGTGAACATCAGGAGCGTGCCTTCTCTTTTTATCCAATCAAAAAACATATTTGGGCAAAAGAGAAGGAGCGCTCCTGATGTTAACACTCAAGAATGATAGAATACAAGATTGCGCCAATCGAGCTGAGAGTAACTGGCCGTGACGTCAATAAATACCAGAATGAGAGAGCAAGACGAACTCGACAAGAAAAAGAGGAAGCATCGAACAAAAGGCAGTATTGCCAAGTTTTCAATTTGAAAAAGCACCAAATATTTATTGGTGTATTTTATGGACTTTATATGCATACATAATTATATTGTAAAGGATGCCGATTCAAATTAATAAAAATCAATGTTTCTTGCACGACGGTCGATTTTTTCTGGCTTGATTGAAGGTGCTGCCACATATTTTGTTGTCGCTTATGATTGTGTAATGATTTTATTAAAATTTTTGTGAAGTTGCTTACCACGCTTGTGATTGCTATAAATTTTGCTTCCATTTTTTTAAGATTTTATAATTTGGTGTCTTCAAACTAAAAACAAAAGCACCAAAAACGCACCAAGCACCAAACTCAAAAATGTTCGGGTTTTGAATACCCACTAAATTTGGTGCGAAAAGCATTAAGTTGGCAACAGTGAATGTAAACAAAAGTATTTTATGACGTCAGCGATTGGGTGGATGCTGTCAAATCGACGATGAGAGGGTTAGCGGTCCGCGAATGGCGCGACCTTTATTTTCTGGATCGTGGTTAACACTCGCTACAATTATAACGTGTTGTCTTTTCTTATAAGGTTCATTCCTTATCTTTTTGGACTAAAATCTGAAAAGTGTCAAAATGCCAGAGCGTAAGCAAAATGCGCTCACTAAAAGAGAATAACAGGAAAAGTAAAGGAACGCAAAAAACCAAATTTTTAGTCCAAAGAATGGCAACAACAAAACTAACGTCAAATAAGAACAGAAATGTATGTACAAAACACATTCACACAAGCACAAGCACAATAAACACTTGCTATATCAATTATTTTTTGCCTCCTTCCAATTTCAATTCATTTCTTTTACTTTTTAGATTATTCTCACTTTTAGCGTATTCTTTAATTTCTATTAATTTAAATTCAGTTGAGTTTGACACTTTTCAGGATTTTGCCAGA